CGAGGCGAAATTTGAATCCTCTTTAGCTTCCCTTAGAACCTAAATAGGCCCTCTTTACGATCTTGTAGACTCCCGTAGGCCCTCCTTTGAATCCAAACGTGGAAGAAAGGTAAATTTGCGACTGGTTGAGGAAGCTAAAGAGGGTCTAGTTCGATTAAAAAAGTACAAAAAAATGCAAAAAAAACTCTTTTAATTATTTTGATTAAAGCAAAATGAATTTTTTCTTCACACAATATTTCTTTAATTACCCTTTAAAAACTGGAATTAACATATTTTGAAGCGTTTTCAAAAAATTAATAGAATTAGAGCAATTTCAAAATTTTCAATATTTTAATCAATTTTTAGACCCTCCTTTGAATCCAAACGTGGAAGAAAGGGAAATTTGCGACTGGTTGAGGAAGCTAAAGAGGGTCTGTTTAACTCTACTTTACTCCTTATAAATTAGGGCTTAAATTTCGCCTCGGGTAGCTTCGCGGTTTTTTGTTAATCTTCTACATTTTTTAAAAGCACAATTATTATTACAATTATTATAAAAATTACTCAAAATATTTCTGACTTTCGACTTTTTGGACCAACCTTAATATATATTTGTGTTTTTGTTTTTACTTAAATAAAATTATTGATTATTATATAATAATTATATTTACAATAAAATGACTAAATATATGTATATTACACAATATATTTTGAAATTAAGCTTGACGGTATTTAACACATTACCTATATATATACACAATAGAAACGCTATTGTTCCAACAAAATCTTTATATACATGTCGTTGTAAACGACATGACATTAGCATAACTTCCCTTTTGTATATTTTACGGATGAGTTCCTCTGTTCTCGATTTAGGGAATAGGGAAGTGATAAGAATCAATTCCACTTGTGTTTACAAAAGCAAGGATCAAATATTTCTTATAGGGGAGTCAAACTTTTCACTCTTTGTCGTTTAACTTCATCATTTTTACATTAATTAATAAACGTTTAATTGTATACAAAAAACTTTACTTGAATATTTCAGCTTTTATATATAAAGAAAACTTTCCAATATCGCTTTTACTTTTTTTTCTATAGAATCATTACTTTTGTAGTACAAATCTGCCAATTTACCCTGGAGTCGGGGTATATTAGTACAGGAGTAAATATTATTTAAAAATTCAAAAATTATTATGTATTGTAATTTAAAGATTGTATAGTAATTTTGTTATAAAAAAGCGTCAATACTCCTTGAGGAAGTATTTTTAGAATATATGGTTATTTTTTATCATATTGTAAATAAAAATCAAAAATGTTCAATATTTTTTCCTTAAAGAACAAAAAACAAAAAAAATTAAAGATTTGAAAGTATCAAAATCTGTAAATGACTTCGACATATTTTCCACAATAAATGAATGAATAACAATGGAACTTTTGAATAAATTGAAATGTTGCATTACGCCCCGATCTCCCCTATGTCTCTGTGTAGAAATTGACACGTTTTTTTCAGCATTCGAGTTTGGGCTAAAGGCAGGGGTTCATTTCCTTTGGTCCTTGATTGTATAATTCTATATTTTAAATGGCATAGACTCTATACCGACAAAGATAAAAAAAATTTCCTCTCCTTTTTTTGAAAAAGATTTTTGAAAAATTTGCTTTTGTTCTTCTAAAAGATTTTTTTTTTAGAAAAAATGTAATACTTAAGAAAGAAGTGAAAATTTGAAAAAACTTTCAATAATGAAAAACATTTCATAAGTTATATAAAAATCTGTAAAGAACATTAAAAATTTTAAATCCAATATCGGAGAAAATATAAAAAGGAAGCATTGGTTATCTAACTAACAAAATAATATTAATTAAATTTTGCGTTAAAAATAATTTATCACTCAATTAATAATGATTTTATTTCTTTGGAATAATTATATATTTTGTAATAGTGAAAATTTTGATTCACATTTATTAATAGAAGAGTTATGATTATTTTTTGAAAACTAAGTAGTCTATGTACACTTATAACAGGGGTTGTATTAACAATAGAAACGTTAAGCGAAGCTCAAATTTGCAATGCTTGTCATTTGTGTGCAACTCCAGGGTGAAGCTCGTGTCTGCCGTTTTGACATTGCGATCTAACCAGGGGAGAAGAGATACCCCAGGGGCTGTCCGTCAGCGCTCGTCACACCAATTTATTACTTATGATAATATTCAGAAACGATTTTGATTCAATGTAAATTCGACTGTCATGTAGACTGTATATAAGCAAAAAAAAAACATTTTAAAAGGAAATCTTGAAACGAAAGAATTGTAAACTAATCAAAATTTCCTGAGGGAAATGATAAAAAATAACATCTACTTTAGACGACAGTATAATAATTCCATTTTATATATAAATTTAATATTGAAATAATTAAGAAGTTAGAGCAGTACCTAAAGTTTAAATTTTCAAAAAATCAAATCTTGTGCCAAATTCTGCCAAATTTAAAATTATCTGAAATTCATTTACTTCTAAAAATTTTAACTACAATTTTTTAAATTTCAATTATTTCTAAAATTTTTACTAAATTCATATTTTACAATAATATTTTAATGAAGTTTTTCGAAAATTTGATTATTTAAAACATTTTCTAAACTTCTGAATTCGAAAACATTTGCATAAATAATAATAATAATAATAATATTTCGAAAATTTTTTTTAAAGTAATTTTAAATTATTTTTTAAAATTTGTTCTATACTGAATTAAATTCTTAAAAATTTGTCTTAGTTCAATTCTGAAATATTGTAAATAAAATTTCTTGAAAATATTATGAAACATTTTTATTAGAAATTACACTGAAAAAAGGGTTTCGTATTTACAACCAAACGTTTGGTTGGTATTTAAGCAACCAAATTTTTTTTATTGAATCAACAAAATTTTGATTGTTCCAATCAAACTTTAGTTAGGACAACAAAAATTCTTTTTTTCTAATTTTGGTTGTGTCAAACAAATTTTGATTGAGACAATTAAAATTTTGTTGATTCAACAAAAAAATTTTGGTTGCGTAAATACCAACCAAACGTTTGGTTGTCAATACCAAACCCTTTTTTCAGTGTAATAAAATTTATTTAATTTCTAATAACAATTGTTTGATAATAATAAAATATTTACTATAATTGTATTTATTTAAAAATAAAAGAAGTGACTTTTTTGAGTTTTCTTGTAATGTAAATCGACTAAAAATTTAAACAATACTTCGACTTTTGTATAAAGCTATATTTAACAATTATTGTATCATTGCGGACGCTTAAGACCCTAGCTGTTCAACAGCGACCTTAAATACATAAATAAAAAAAAAAAAAAAAAATCGACTAAAATGATTTAAATTAATTTAATCTTGTACACTTAATATATTTTTAAAAAGCATGAGAAAAGATATATATATATATATATATATATTTGTTATTAAAATTTATTAAAATAGTACATACCTGGAAAAAAAATTTTTTACCTGAAAAATCAGGAAAAGTCCTGGAATTTTATTTGGCAAATGTGCTCGACTCCCTGAAGATTCAAAATTCCAGGAAAAAAAAATTGAAAAACATTTTTAAACATTTTTAAAATATTTTAAATTTTATTGGTCGGAATTTTGAGTTTTTCAAAAAATGAATTTATGTGTAAAAGAGCACAATTTTTTTTTTTAATTTTTAAAGTTTTTTTCCCGAAGTTTCTTTTTTATTTTAAAACATAATTGTTTTATTTGGGTTTCCCTCAAAGTAAAATCACTAATGATTGTTTATAATATCTGCAGACGTACATACATATTTAATTCTCCGGTTATTTTATTTAAAGAAGTGTCTTTGGGTACCTATTAATATGTTAATTATGAAAATTTCAACTTGATTGAATAATTTTGTTAGAATTCAAAATTACTCGAAAAGAGCCAATACCACCCAAGATGTGATTGTTAAATATTTAATTTGAAGTATATCAAAATCAATAATCAGTTATCAAAATTGTATTCTCAATACTAAATTTCAACTCTCAATGAATAGAATAAATATATTATTAATTTGAGATAAATGCAAAATTATTTAAACAATTATGGAAATATACATCATTACACCTCGTTGTCTCTTACATTACTCTCAAGAAATAAGAAAATTAAATTCCATATTCCATCTTTATGTTAATATTTATATTGAAAAGATAAAGATAAATTTCATTAAAAATTAATTTTATTATATAAACGTATTTAATATTTATCCACCAAGTTATTTGTATATATTTCACTTTTATTTAAATTTAAACATAAAATATTTTATAACATTTGTTTTAATAACTTTATCAAAATCTTATTACAAAATTATTTTCTTCTTTACTTCGTAAATTTAGAATGTCTGACTGATATCCGAAATTAGCAACAATATGCGACTTGTGCTGTTTTTATATAGTTTTTTTTTTTTTTTATTAAAATACTAAATACATTTTATTTAATATTGATATTTAATAAATTTATATGACTTTTTTGAGCTTAAATAAATCCTTTAATTAATAATATGCTTTAAAAATAATTTTTACATAGTTATTATTTCTATTTGAAAATTGATGTAAAAATAAAATATATACTTTTAAAATTCTCGACAAAGAATTGAGAAATTGTATAAGTAGTACCACCTATCGAGTGAATATTTGAAATAAATTGTATTTTTACCGATCGAGCAAAGAAGCCAATTCCCTATATCTAATCTTGAATTTTTGAGATTATGTATCTTTTTTAGCTCTGAATTTTGACCTGATTTTGAGGTTATGTTTACTAATTTTAACCCTTTGGTCTAAGAACATAAAATTTTATCTTGAATCTCTTGAATTTTGACTTTATGTTTGTTGACCAAAAAATTGATCTAATTTTGAGGTTACGTTTACCGATTTTTATCTCAAATTCACCGTCCTCTTGATTTATTAGTATTTTAACCCTGAACTGTGACCTAATTTTGGTTTTGGTTCAGGTAATATCTTTTTGTAATATAGGGAGATGAAAAAACAAGCATGTATAATTTAATATATATATTGCATATTAATTACAAAATAGAAACAAAATAAATATCTTTTAGAAACAATAAGTTACAATCTATTGCATGGTTGAATCAGTCTTTAATTTCATATTAGGTTTTCGAAGATGATGATAATTCGGTAGTACACGCATTAAAAAATCCAATTGTCCAACTTGCGGCTACAAAAAATGTAAAAAAATAATAAATTTTTCGCCAATTCCATACATTTTCAATTCGGGCAATTTTCTTTCTTTTTCGAAAGAAAATATTTATCTATTTTTTATTTTTACTGTCGTTTAAATGAAAAACTTTTCGAGTTATAAATATGCAAAATTCTTATTTCTTAAAAGTATCCCTATTTTCAATGGCATATATGACTCCAAAATTAATGAACTTAGAAACTTTTTGCCAAAAGAGAAGAAATGTTTTACTTTTTCTTCGACTTTTAAATAGTTTTAGTGAAAAAAAATTTACAATTAATTTTTATTTAAAACGTAACAATCTTTTATAAAAAAAATTAATGTATATTAGAATAAATCTGCATTTTTTGATATAGAAACTATGTTTGAACAATTTTTTTTCAAGCGAATTTAAAAAACCAAAGTTGTGCTGAATTGTGCTCGACTAACAGAATTAAAAAAAATCCAATTTTTCCTAAATTGAATATATAATTGTTTTAAAAATCTTTTTTAATTTTTTTGCTCAGAATTTTGAATTTTTCATAAAATGAATTTGTGTACAAAAGAGAATAATTCCAACATAATTCAGTACAAGATTTGTTTTTTTTTTTGAAAATTTTAAATTTTTTTTCCAGAATTTTAAGTTTTTGAAAAAAAGAAATTATGCACAAAAGAGCACAATTTGGCATAACATTTTTTTATTAGTTTTAGATGTTATAAAAAAATGTTTGTTTAATTTTTTCCCGAAATTTTGAATTTGGTTTAAATGGAATTTCTGTTAAATAATAATTTGAAGAAATTCGAATAAAAATAAATTCTAAATAAAATTCTGTAAAATGAAAATTCTAACAAAAATTAATTTTAGACTTTGTTCGAATGCTCTTTCTAAAAATGTTTGATAATATTTTACTCACGTATGGTTTATCACTCATTTCTCTACGCTGACACTGGCTTCCATAAACAATAGTATTTTCAGGTAAAATTTCTGATTCCGATATAGAACAAGCAGCACCTATTATGCAGCCATTAGTCAATTCAACTTCTCGACCAACGAATGCTGTAGAAATAAATATATCGTAAAATTTGATTCCTTTGAATATAATTAAATGTTTAATAATTATTTTCATACCTTTTGTTTCAAGAATATTATTGTCACCAACTTTACTTGCTTCGCATGTGCTGTCAACTTCAAAAACATTATAATTTCCGATAATTTGAACTGGAACTGTTGCAAGTCTTGGTGTATCGTCAGGCAATCTAATAAATTAACGCACACATTTATTATATTTTATTCCAATTAATTAAATAACAAAAGCATACACTAAAAAAAATTTATTTGATTCAAATAATCGTTTACTTGACTATTATCAAATAAATATTTATTTGAGTCAATTTGTTTGAAAAACTGAAATTATTGGTTCAAATACAGTTTATTTAATTCAAATAAAAATTATTTGATTCAAATAAATATTTATTTGATAATAGTCAAGTAAACGATTATTTGAATCAAATAAATTTTTTTGAGTGTATATTATAAAATAGATATACTTGTTAACTATTGTTGCCATTTCTTCGATAATATTTCCTTCGCCTATAATAATGGGACCTGCTTCTGCTATAATTATTGCTTTTGGATGAATTACAGTTCTTGGACCAATTGTTATATCTCCTTTAAGAATACTTTCATCACAAACTACTGCTCCGGCAGCAATTTTTATACTGTCATGAAATTTAATAAATTACCTGTACTAAAGATGCAGTAACTAAATATAATATAAATAGGCCTCGGATCGAATTTAAGGCGCAAGAAAAGTCGATTTAATTATTCCAAAATACAGTCGAAAAAGTCGATTTTTTTTTTTACTAAATTTAATTAGTTAATAAATATTTTAATTTTAATAACTGGTGTTATTAGATATTAAATTCATTTTATTAATTCCTTAATAAGAATAATTCTTTAAGAATATTATTAAGAAAATTTATTTCGAATATTTCAGAATTAAACTAAAGACAAATTTTTTAAAATTTTAATTAAGGACAGATTTATAAAAAAAATTCTTAATTTTCCATTTTTAAAATTTTTTGAAGTCTGATTTAAGCAATTTATAAGAATTTAAAATTTTTGTATAATTTTTAGTTTTAATGGTAAAAAAAATGTCGGACAATAATTAAGTACGTGTCGTAAAAATCGTGTTAATTAATAAAATAAAAGTCATTGAGCCATAAATTATAAAAAATCTTTAATCAAATAATTAAGTTTTACAGATTTTTAAATTAAATTTTTTTTTTGAAATAATTGAATTGTAGATTTTAATTTTGAAATAAAAATTTTGCAAATTAAACAGTTGTAGTTTTTTTTTAAATTTCTGACAATTAAATTTTAGAGTTTTTATTTGAAACTTTTTAAATTAATTTAATTTTTACGAAGTGGCTAGTCGTCCGTCTAGACGGATACGAAATTACTGCTAGTCGTCCGTCTAGACGGATAAATATTTTTGTCCGTCTATTATACTGGCATTACTGTTAAAAGTATCAGACAGTATCCGGATGAAATAAATGGATTAAAATTTGTCCGTCTACTCTTAAGAAAATAATTATTAATAATAAGTCACGATCCAACTAACAAGGTCCTGCCACGCGCCTTTAAAAAACTCATCCAATTGGATTCAAAATAAAAAAAGAAATATTCATAAGAAACAGTTACTGCTAACCGTTAAAGGTAATTTTATTATAAAAAATCAAAACTATATACATTAAATTGAATATTTTACTAATTAAAATATTAAGGGGTTAGACCACTGTAAAGACCGAAAATCAGACCCATTTTTAAGATTTTTTTTCAAGAACAGAATTAAAAAATCAATTATATATTATTTTTAAGTACATATTAAAATTTAATTTTAATACATTAAAAAATTATTTTCATAAGGTAAAACAATTAAAATTGCGGCAAAGACAGTCGATCTACAAAAACCCTTTTTTATGCAGAAGTGTAAGGCCGGTAGAAAATCTTTTTCAGTTTTTGACTTAAAACAAAAAACCAAATTTTTTTCTTATTTTGTAATTCAAAATCTATAGAAGCTTTTAAAATTTTTTTTTTATATTTTTAAAAATCTTTTTTAGCTAGCCATTTTTGAGTTATGAAATTTTCAAAATTGCAGAATTTTCATGACTTTTAATTTTTGAATGCTCATAACTTCTTTAAAAATGCATCAATTTTAAAAGTTTTTTTTCAAAATGTATGTTTTTAAACGTACTTTAAAAAAAATGGAAATTTTTTTCAAATAATATTACTATTAAATTTTGAAGTTATAAAGATAAAAAGTCATTTTTCTTAATTGACGTAGTGATAGATTTTTTTCAAAAATTTTCAAAAAAATTACTTCCTTTTACGAAAATTTTAAGCCTAGTCTGATCGTGGACTAAGACTAGGTATTTTGATTCGCTGATTACGAAAATCTTAGTAGTATCCTTACCCGACAAAAGGTATAGATCTTATTAAAATACTTTTTTTATATCTTATGAATTTTTTTAAATTTTTTGTATATTTTACCCAATAAAGGAAAAAACCATAAACTTTAGGACATTTTTTATGGTTTTCACCATAAAAATCAAATTTTCGGGTATTGTCACTAAGATTTTCGTAATCAGCGCATCAAAATACATAAAAGTACGTAGTATAAAAACCAAAAATATTTTTAAAATATACAAAAAATTTTGAAAAATTACGAAAATATTGTAAAAATTGTTTGCCCACGATCAGACTAGGCTTAAAATTTTCATAAAAGGAAGTAGTTTTTTTGAAAAAATCGATCAGTACGTCAATTAAGAAAAATGACTTTTCATCTTTATAACTTCAAAATTTAATGGTATGTAATATCATTTGAAAAAAAATTTCGATTTAAACTTTAAAGAGTTTGAATTTCGCGCTGAATGTTTATATGTATGTATATTTATATAAATATATACGGGTAGACGGACAGTTTTAACAAAAAATATTTCATCCGTCTACTGTGCCAGTAAATACTGGCACTAGACGGACAATTTATATTATCCGTCTATAGACGGACAATTTAAATTCATCCGTCTAGACGGACTACTAGACGCAGCCTAATTTTTAAAGAAATATTAAAAATAATTGAATTTTGAGAGAGTAACAGTTGGAATTTTTTAATTGAATTTCAAAATATTTTCAAACAATTAATAATTATTTATTATTGTTAAATTGTAGGTTATAAATTGAAATTTTTGAAAATAATTGAGATTTCAAGTGATATAATAAAAAGACGTATTTTGTTTAAAAAATTTTGTAAAAAATGCAAAAAAAAAAAAAGTCGTATTATCCGAGGCCCTTATAAATTTATAGTTTTACTTACTTTGATCGAGGACTAGAAGTTGAAACATTTGATATGCTAATATTAGACATTATTCTTTTTTTTGCTTTGCTCTATGTTGTCAGATGCTGTGGGTACTGTTGTGCTTTTTGACTGCAAAAAAAACTGTAAATTGCAAAGATATTTGCTACTTCTGTTGATATAAGGAAACACAATAAATGACAATAAACAATAATGTAAACATGGTTAAAGGTGAACAGGTTTGCTGCACTAGCAGCATGCAGCAAAATAAAGGTCTCACCACACGCACGCAAGAAAAATTAACCAATCAGTGCCTGCCAAAGTCCACGAACATATTTGTCAACTTCTCCGCGCGATTTCAAATGAAATACAAAACAATGAAAAGAGGAAAAAAAGTGAAGTTGAATTAGAATTCAATTAATTTATGTTCCTGTTTAATCTATTTTTTATATTATATATTTGCATTATATAAGTTTATGTTACCACATTAAAAAGAGCACTTTTACCATTTTCTGTAAATTTACTATTTTCAAAGTGAGTAATAGTTAACACATAATTAGTTGTTGCATCCGTCAACTTTGAAAGTAGTAAATTTACAAAAAAAAGGTAAAAGTGCGCTCTTTTTAATGTGGTAACATAACCTTATTGAATATAGCAATTTTACAAATTTTAATACAAATACAAATTGTGGATTTATAATCTCCAAAAAGATTTTTTAGTGTATTATTATAAGTTTACAATAGGGCTGTAACATAACTTCAAAAATATAACTGTCATTAATATTTGTTTTTCAAGTTAACTTTTTCTCTTAATAAAACTTAAAAATTTTATTTGAAATTATATTGAGTCGTTTACTTATAACCTAAAAATTTTAATTTAAAAAAAAATGATTTCTTTTTAATAAATATAGGTTTTAATAAAATTTCAATGTTAATTTTTAAATTTACGTTATTTTTTTTTATCTACCTACAGAAAAGATTTCAGATAGATACAACAATTAAAAATGATTTTTAAACGATTTATAAATATTTTCTGTAGTTCCGGCAAAAAAATTTTTTGTCGCTCAGCTTATTAGGAACTCTTCAGAAGAACGTTAATAATACATAAGGCCAGAAAGTAGTATAGTGATACAATGATACAATGTGAGAAAAATTAAATAATTTTTGAAATTTTTCTAAACACTTTGAAAAAGTTCTGTTACTTTTTTTAAAAAATCTCTCTGAATTTATGGTAAAAAAAATTCATGGTTCGAAAAAAAAATCGAAATTTGAAATTTGTCTTAAAACGATTTGTCAGAAAATAATAATCAAAATACAGATTTTGAATTTTTTTGTCATTAATACATATCTGTTTTGAATAATTCGAATATAAAACTGACAAAATATTTATTGAAAAAAATGTCGAAAATTTTTTTTTTTAATTTAGATTTTTGCATATTTGAGAACATTTTCTTTTTGTATCTCGCACTTTACATGAAATCCCTACATTAAATGCCAAATCATATATATTTTTATTTTGTGTAAATATTATATATTTCTAAAAAATTAGGTACACATCAATTCCCCTATAACATTGGATATAATAAGAAACGGAAATATATTTATCTTTTCAATGAAACCTTGCTTTTGTCTAAGGTTTTTTTTTTTAAACGTGTTGCGATAATACAAACAGCCTATTCGTTATGGAAAAACAAAAGACTTTTCGAGTAAGAATTTCATTCAACTATACATGAAACATGAATACATTGAGCACATGTATCTAGCGCTACCTTGAGTTTTGTATTAAATTTCATTACACGTATTTTTATATTTAAAATAAATTTAATAAAATATTAATTAAAGTAGTAAAATTATCTATAAATATACAGAATTATTTTGCCGAACATTTTTAATGTTCTTATGAAATTCTTAATTCTATGAATTATGAATAATCTTTTACGTCCGAGTAGTATTAAGTAAGATAAATAAAATAAACGAAGACATTCGGACCAAATGTTATAAATATATTTCTCCAACGTTTCGAAATCTGTACGATTTCCTCTTCAGGGAGTCTATCAAATTACAATAATAAATTAAAAATTAATACTAACAAAAAGGAGTTCAGAAAATTAACAATATAAAATTCTTACCAAAATAAATAAAATAATAAAAATTAAAAATGAATGATTGATTCCATTATCACAATTCATTTCAGTCCATTTTTCATCCATCATAATTCACAAATTCATCAAGTACAATTAAAATAGAATAAACGTTGGAAAACAATAGAGATTGGAGTCATCGACTAAATATAGAAAGAAAATAATAATGAATAAAAATATATTGATTAATAATAATATTTAAGGAAATTAAATAAATAATATAAAAATAATATAAAAGTAAAATTAAAAATTTTTTTTAAATAAAATTCTTAACTACGAAGATAATAAATTACTTTATTTTAAAAATGCATAACCATAATAATTTGATGATATAATGTGATCGTGTCTGAGAAAAGGGTGATATCGACCAAAAAAAAATTTTGTTTAAAAATTGTCGCATTGCATTTTTTAATTCTTAAACTATAAGAAACCATGATTTAAAAAAATTCGATTTTTTCGGTCGATAACATTTCTCACATAATCACCCGCGAAATAATAAATAAACTTATAATTATTATTATACACTATTGCCGCGTCTTCAATAAAAGTTGATGATTTAAGCGACATCCACAAAGAGAGCAACTCCATGACAGTGAAATTGTACCATACTGTCGATGGTTAGCTCTCTTTATAAAAATCGTGCTTTTTTTAATTGTTCCCAAATTTCTTCTCTTTTCTTCAGCACACAGCATAAGCTCATTTGCATTACAGTTATAAAATGCAATCATATTCTTAGGCCTTACTTTGGAGCATCAGGAACTTCCAGTGTCCATTTCTGCATAATATACCTTCAAAAAATTAACATAATATTAATAAAAATTATTATTTTATTTTATATATGTGCGTAATAATATATCCATACACAGTACAGACACAGTATCATGTACTTTATTTACTTTAGATCTTTCATTTTCACAAGTGTCATTGTAAATACAACTGAAAAAATGCATTAATATTTGTAAAAAAAAAATTCCACATGGACTTTATATTCATTTTTTTCTCACACATTTAAATGTATATTTTCATATTATTTTTCAACAATATTTAAAAAAATATTATTTAAAAATACCTAGCGGTTCAAGCATATTTTACCCAATAAACGAAAAAAAAACACCATAAATTTTAGAACTTTTTAATGGTTTTCATCATAAAAATCAAATTTTCGGATATTGTTATTATAATTTCGTCATCAGCGCACCAAAATACATAAAAGTACGTAGTATAAAAAAAACCAAAAATAATTTTAAAAAATTCAAATTTTTTTAAAAATTCCGAAAATAGGTAAAAATTGTTTACCCACGATTGGAATAGGCTTAAAATTTTTGTAAAAAGAAGTAGTTTTTTTTTAAAAAAATCGATCAGTACGTCAATTGAGAAAACTTAAAAATTTAATAGTAATATATTTGAAGAAAATTTTCAATTTTTTTTCCAAAGTACGTTTAAAAACACACATTTTGAAAAAAAACTTTTAAAATTGATGCATATTTAAGGAAATTATAAGCATTCAAAAATTAAAAGTGATTAAAATTCATAAATTTTGAAAAATTTATATCTCAAAAACGGCTTGCTAATAAAATTTGAAAAGAATCATGAAAGCTAGTCTCAATTAGTACTAAAAGAAAAAAAAGTTTTTCTGAAAAATCGGAAATGCAATTGCAGACGGACTTAAAATTTTGCGTGGAATGCATCATATATTTTTTATATTTTTTATTTGTTCTAAATGAAAAACTAAATTAACATTTTTATTTAGTGATTTTTATTATGTGCTGCGTGTATAAATAATATATTATAGTGCATTTCTATGAAAAAGCGGACATTCTGTCTGTGCAACAAATTACTGTAACTTTTTTTTTAAAATTATTATGAAATAAAAATTTGTTACATGAAAAAGATAAGAAAATATAGAAAACTTGTCCAACAGATTTTTTGATTTTATAAGAAAATTGAAAAAATATAAAGTCGTTTTAGTCATCGTAACGCACGGACGAAAATTTTCATGGAAATGCTCATTATTGAAGTAAAACAGATATTATATTTATATTTGAGCGATTTCAGATAAAGTGATATAAAAAATTTTTATCTAATCGTGTTCAAACTTGGGTAATTAATAGTTTTAATACTGAATTGTAATTTTTTGCAAAAAAAAAAAAATTTCCATTTGGACCGCGTCTACACAATAATTTTTTTCTTTTTAAATAATGAAATAAATTTTTTTCTCAATACAAAATTTTGATATATTTCATTTTTAATACCCTCTCAATAGATAAAATGCATTTTAGAAAAAGAATATTTTTACCAAAAAAAAACAAATGAAAACGAAAAATAAATTTTTTTTGAGGGAATAGACACAATTCTTACAGAAAAAAATAGTTTAAAAAAACCTAAAACCCTCAAATCAAATGTGGTGTTTGGTTATGGAAAATTGAAAAGTAGATTTTTTGTACGTAAATATTGAAATAATAAATTATAACTTATTTTATTATGCAAAATATATTTTGATGGCATTTTTTTCAAACATCAATTTTAAATACAATATTTAACCTTTAAAACACATGACTAAAATGCTTCATGGAGGTCGTATTTTTGGAAATTTAATTTTGCGCAACATATTTTTATTTTTAAACATCTTTAGATAACTTTTTTTTTGAAAAAAAAATTCAGAAAATTTAAAATTTTTATTTCTTATTTTTTCGATCAAAAACGAATCACTTTGAGGAATTACCTATATTATTACTATTTAATAAAATTGAACTTTTTTTTGTAACAAACGAGCCAGGGATCTCTGAGGGATTCTAAGCAATTCCATATCATAAAAAAGTACCTGTGTATTTTTTAAGAAACTTTTAACTGGGTCATAATGAAAGTATAAAAATTAAAATTACCTAAAAAGAAAAAAAAATCTACACAATTTAAAATATGTACGTTTTTGCTGCTAAATATGAGGGCAGAATATAACCAGAATGTGTTTTCCGTTGAGCATGAAACCAGTCCAATTATCAGGGAAGTGCGAGCCGTTTTTCTGTTTAGCACCCACCTGATTGCACATAACCATACATAGCTCGTGTCTCGTGTATTATTATTATTATTATTATTATTGTTAATATTTTCGCACCATGTGGTTTCAACAAAACATGCAAAAATTTCATTAAAAGTTAAAAAAAAAATTTAATCCCAAATTTTACAAAAAAAAAAATTTTTTTCACAAAATTTAAATTAATATTTTAAATTATTATTTATTGATCAAATATAATTTTTATCAAATAAAGTGAAAATCTAAATAAAAAAAAAAAAAAAATTAATTGTCATTTAATAAAGTATAGGTGTATTAATAATAAATTCTAAAGCAAAGAGTCTGCTTATTTCTAATTCGGAAAGTAAATAAAAGAATATAACTTTTTTTTTTTATTATTTGTGCAGATGATATTTTCTAAGAGCATCTGCACAAACAACCAAAAAATATCTACTTTGAATATATCAGCAATACATACGTGTATATTATTTATTAGATAGAAAAGAATTTATTGAAATTAGATTAAAAATTTTATATGAAATTCTACAGAAAACACTTGAACTTTTTAAATATAGATATATTCATTTAATTTATTAACACATAATTAATTTTTTATTGGACCTTAATTTTTAAAAATATAAATTTGGATAAACGAAAACGGACCAAAATATTTTTCCAAATTTTATATATTTAATTAATATATAACTGAAAATAATTAAATTTTATTTTAAAAAAATATTTCTGAAACTGGTGGTTTAGTGGAAAAAAAGAATACGTGAAATTTTTGTTGAAAAAGAGGACTTTATGGAATGCACGTGTCCTTTTTTTGTAGTAAACCAGCGATATGTAATATTGACAATACAAAGTAAATATTAATTGTAAATATAGAATTTTTTAATTATGTTATAAATATAATAATTATTTTTTTTTGTAAAAAATAATTGTTGTAACTATATGTATATTGTCTTATCAAAAGTGATAAACGAAACACAATATATCTGTACAACTGAAATATAATGATATCTGATTTACTATCTGGAAAAATGTGCAAATGAAAATATATCATGTAATTATAATATTGAAAAAAAATTGTAAGTATTATTTGTCAATATAATAAAATTATGTATATTACAAAAAAAATATACTAATGCAAATAAAGATAATTTTATTTTTATCCGTTTTTTAAAAAATAAACTTAAAAATCACTCCGAGTGAAGAAAATTAAAAGAAAACGTTTACGTTTCAGCAACATAACTTTCTTCGGAAACTATAATTTTTATTAAATACAAAATGTTTAAATAAATAAATATTGAAAATTTTTTTCCAATTTATAAAATTAATGAATAATTTTTTTTTTCAAAATTTTGTATTTTATAAAAATTATTATTTCTGAAGACAACAGTAAACATTACAAAATCATTAATATTTATTTACAAAAGATAATATAAATTTAATTTTGTAATAAAAGTAATTATTATTAGTTTTTTTTTATTAGCGAAAAGAATGTTTTCTTTATCGTATTTTTTATAACACGTATATACTTAATAAGATCATATATATATACTCATTTAAGAATATTCTAGGTATTCTGTAAATTATTGCTCTCTGGAAAAGACAGCTATTCTCTATATTATCAGTTAGTATGTGATAACGAATTGATAGCACAGTTCCTCAACAGGTATACACGTACATTACCGAAAATCATCTGTAAGCAACGCGACCGACACTGATAAGCTGATTAAATATAGCGCAATGGAAAGAATAATATGATTATGAAATCTCCATCGTATTTCAGACTTAATATCGGAAAGAAAAATTATTTTTCAAAAGTATAAATTAGAGGTAAAAACAATTTTTATATATAAATTTTTTTTTTTGTTGAAATATTTCTATATATAAGTTAAAAAAAAATTTCTGGAACATTTTCTAAAGTTGATATTAAAGATATTCATCGAGATTTTGGAAATATTTGTTTAATATTAAAATGTTCATTATTAAAAAAATTGTTGATTAATTTTATAATGAAAAGACAAGTGAATATTTTGAAGATCAACTTTAAGAAATGTTCACAGAAAATTATTTTTTTTTTTATGGATTCATTTAAACATTTTTGAAATAAATAATTACTTTAATTCATATTCAAAGAGTCTATTTATTTGTTTCTAGAAAAATATATAGATATAAAAATTACTTGTTAATGTTTCGTAAAATTGTGTTATAAGATAAATTTTTTTTTTAAATTAATTTTTAGAAATTTTTGTTTTAATTAGAATTATTTCTCACAACTTTCATTCTTATCAATGAGTATATTATTCTTAATGTTATATTATTTACATTTTTTATTTTCACAAAATTACATTAACAAAAAAAAAAGAAATGATTTATAAACAAAAAAAGAAATTTTATAATTTGAATTTAATAATTTTGTAAATATTTACTTCTTTGAAAATTTTGGAACATAATATAAAATAACAATAATTGACTTACCCACTTTTTCCCTTTACTTTAAAAAAATGAAAAAAAAAGAAATGATTTATGTCCTGTATAGGTGTGATGTGAACGAGAACGAACAAGAATATGTACATGACGTGGACATAGTTCTCCGTTTTATATACCTGCTTGAACGTCACAGGTGAATTTTCTTATCAGTTCATGTTACAGTTCCAATCCTTCTACTTTGAAGTTAAAAAGTCTTATTGTCTAATATCTTTTCATGACTATATTCATAATTAGGTTATTAAATTATAATCAGATATTTATCACAAATTCTTTTTTGTTTCAAAAATCTACTAATCGCTATTTTTCTACTTTTAAACCAGTGTTTTATTCGGTAAAGTGAGAAAATATTTAAAAAATGTCTTAATTTTAGTTATATTTTGAAATTTTTTTTTGAAAGAAATTATATATAAATTCTGTTTCTATACAAATTGGAAGATGTGAAATAATTTTATTAAAATAATTATTTTTTGTTAAAAATATTACTCAAATTGGAAATGCAAAATATTATAAGTAAGCTTCTTTTTCAAATATAAAATGATTATTGGTTTCTCTTTGTTAAATGTAATTTATTAAAAGAGAAATATGAAATAATATATTGTATATACCAATTATTGTAAATTTTGTTATTTGTTATTTTATATTTTTTAATACATTTATTATATACATACAATTCCTGACTAAATTTAACAAATTCGTCGTGTTTTTTTAACATTCCTCTAATTTTTGTCGAAGTTGATTATTTTGAACCTGCAAACTTTCTAATTCATTTTTCATAGCATCTTTTTCACGATCAAACTTAATCTTTTGATTTTGTATATCAACCTCGCTATTTAATAACTCATTTTTTGTATATTTTAATTTACTCTGGAAAATAAATATTATATTATTTGCAATTAAACTTTATATAAAAATTAGGTCTAAAAATGTACAGGAAAATTTTTTTTGGAACTATTTTGCTCCAATCTTTAAAATTTGTTCGAAATTAAAAAAAATACCTGTATTTTTTTAAATCGCATAATATTTTAAAGTGCTCGAAACCCATGAAATTTAACGATTTCTTATATTAGGAAAAAAACATTTTTTGCAAATTTTCAATAAAATCGTTTAAAAATCACTTAAATAATTAATGCACCGGGTAAAGTTTTGAAAAGTGTTTAAAAAACAGTAATTCATAATAAATTTTATTTGTGAATGAAATTTTTTTTTTTGAAAAATAAAAAATTAATTACTATTAAGAAATTATTAAATAAAGTATTACTATTTTCAAAACCTTTTTCAAAAACTGGTCCAAAGCAGAACTGATTTAATTGATTTTTATATTTTCCGATTTGACAAAAAAATACGGGTACTTTTTTTCTATTTTGGAAAAAATTGCTGGGGGTTTTTCACCCTTTTTATTTATAATAAGCTATTTAGAAAAATATTAAACTCACATTTAATTCTTCTATTAATTGATCATTATAAATTTTCTTTTCATTTAACAGCGCAATATTTTTTTTTGCGCCAATTAATTCATTCTCCAACATTTTTATTCTTGCTTTAGATGCACTCAATTTTATTTTCATATTTTCAAAAGAAATTTCCAATTCTTTTAATTCTTTTGTTAAATTTTCAATTTGCTGTTTTCGTTTTTTCTCCAAATTTCGTAAATCTTCATCTAATTTCGAATATGATATATCAGGGATTTTAGGTGAAGTTACAAATTTTCAAATTTTAAGGTGAAAAAAAATATTCCTTAATAGTGCTCAAATTTTGATTGTAGATGTAAGGTAAGATTTTTTTTTTAACGAAAATGTTTAAATCTTGAAAATTAGCATTTTTTACTCACTAGAAATATTTTATGAGGCATTTGGTAGAAAAAGTCAATTTTCCATTTTGAAAAAAATTATTTCGTTATTTAATTGAAAAAATTACTTAAACATGATCGCGTTTGGAATAAAACTTTTTTTCACCTGCATTATTTCATGTAAAATCTCACATATATAAAAATTATTTAAAATTAAAAATAATTATTTTTCTTTACTTTCAGTTGAAGATCTAACCTACTATTGTTTTTCGATAAAATGATCCTTTTTGAGCTTTAGTGACTTCTTGCTTTAAAGTTAAATTCATATTTTTCAATACCAGAATATCATCATTTGTCTGATCTAATTTATCATTTAGTATTTTAATCTGATCATTCTTTCTTGAAAGTTGTCTCTTTAGATTTTGATATAATTTATTTTCCTTAAATGTTGTATCCTTACAAAAAGATTTAGACTCCATTTTATTAATTATTTCACTTTGAAAAATTGCTTCTTTAGAATTTACTTTATTTTTCGTTTCTGATGAAAATGAATTTTCAGAAATATTAGTCGATGATTGTAATAAAGTTTCTAATTTTTCTTCTGCATCTTGTAATGATTTTTGTAAACAACCATTCTCTGATGTAATTTCCTATAAATCATCAATATTAATATATAATTTTTTATAAAATTTTCAAAATAATTTTTCTTTTAGTATAAATGTTCGCGCACTTGAATTTTTTTTCGTAGAAACGTATTGAGTGAATGAGGAAACACAATATCACTTGGAAATTCTTCCTGAAAAATGAAATAGATATAAAATATTCGCTTATGATTTAAAAATAAAATTCAAGCTGTATCAATATACATCAATGTAAGTTAAATTATCTTCAAAATTAAATGAATTCCTTGATATTTCTGGCGAAAGATTTGCAATATTCGTCAGAAACATTTTTTTCTGATTGTTGTTTTTAATAAAGACTTGTTTTTATCATGAAAGAAGAAATACAATTTTACAACACACGCGTATACTTATTTGAGGTAACATTTATTTTAAAAACATTTTTAATGCACATGAACTTTATGATTTGACATCAAAGCGTTGCTAAGGAAGATAAGAAGTGAAATTAGGTACACAGACGGATTCAAAAAATTTTCTTCTATAAATTTAAAAAAAAAATTATTATTATAAAGAAGTTTTATAACTACATAATATAAAATTTTTTTTTTGTAAATTAAAGTTTTAATTTTATTTATTTTCATTTTCGTTTAATTAAAATGTGATTTTACTGTATAATTATTATTTCCTACTTGAAATGAGTATTATTTCGTTAAAAAAAATTTTCTGCTAATAATTTTTTTTTTCATATTAATATTGTTTTCGATACAAAGAATGATAAAATATTTTTACAATATATATAATAGCTTCGTTTCTTTTATTTAAATTTAAAATTTATTCATTACTATTAAGTTATTTCGAAATTAAAATAAACGATAATTTATTATAATAATTTTGTCTGTAAATATACCAAATTTTAGGCTATTTAAATAGATATTCTATTTGTATTAAATTCTATGTGTATTTTTATGGAGACATTTAACAGCCCCTGTGGCCTAATGGATAAGGCATCGGTCTCCTAAACCGGGGATTGTGGGTTCGAGTCCCACCAGGGGTAAGAAGATTTTATTTTTTGTACCTCAATAAATTACAGTATTCACTTACATATTCATTAATTAATGATTCTTACTTGTCCATAGAATTAATGAAAGTTTTTGATTTTAAAAAAACAAATTTTTAATTGCTTGTGATAAATGATCTTTTTATGGCATAAGGCAGATTTATGGAAATTTACAATTATATACATTTATATATATGATTATATATAAAATTACAAAATTATAAACTTATATAAAGGTTGCTAATTAGTTTTATCCTTTATTTCAGAACTGTGACTGTTTTTAAGTTTTCGTCTAAAGTTACGTTGATTTTTCAACTTCTTACTTCCTGCTAATTTTCCCGCTTTGCGAAGAGCATGTAACTTTTGATTTTTTGCCACAACTTCTTGTTTATTTTTAATATTTTTTGATCCTGTTTGAGTATATTCCACTTTTATTTTGAAGCCTTGAATGTTTGTATGATGTAGAGACAGTGCTTTCTGTAAAATTATTGCAGTTTGTAAATAATGGTTAATAAACGAATTTTTCGATTTTCATAAATTGAAATTCAATTTGAATTGGTTTCATAATAAAAACGATAACATTCGGACAAATGGATTTTAATAATATTTTCTGCAACGTTTCGAAATCACACTGAAAATATTATTAAAATCCATTTGTCCGAATGTTATCGTTTTTATTATGAAACCAATTCAAATATATTCTACTCGGACGTTAAAGAATTATTAATTATGAAATTCAATTGTTTTTAAAAATTAATATACTTTTTTATTTTATCTACAAAAGAATAAATAAGCTTAAAGTTGTAGAGTTTTAGAATTTTTTCTAAAAAATACATTTTTATTCTTTCAATCTAATAAATATTTTTTAGTTTTATAATTTTTCAATTTTAAATTCAAAATATCTAATAGGATCAATCCACTGAAAATCATTCTGAAAATGGTTGATTCTATATTTATAAAAAATCTATTTTTAATATATGTGAAACTTGATGAAATTCTAAGTTCATTGAATTATCAATGTTTTTGAGTTCTGTTCAATTATTAGTTCAGAAAATAAAATTTACTCTATAAAATAATGATATTATAGTGTAAAATTTATTAAAAATTTGAAAATTTTTTGAAGCTTATTACTTTTTTTCTGAAAGCTCCAAAAACTTTGATGTTTTGCAAATATTTTTTGATATAATTTGTCTGCTATTAAAATTTGACGAAGGTATTTTGCTTCGTTTCGGAATTATTAAATTTCAAAATTTTTTACTTGAAAAAATGAATTCTAAGAGTTCAAAAATTTTATATCTCTATTCTCACAAAAGAACAGAGAGATGTAAAATTGTTTTGTTAACTTTAAATACTAGAATTTTAATAGCCATGATAAATTATATTAGTAAAAAAAATCTGCGAAATCTCCAATTTTTTTGAAACTTTTAGAAAAATTATAAATAAAATAAAAAAATTTTCAAATTCGATTATTATTTTAAAACAATATAATTTAATCATTCATTTTATATGAAAAGTTTGGTAGGATTTTTGTAATTCATTTTCTAGAAAACGGAAATGATACACTGTGTTTTTCTTTGTAATTTGTTACTCCAAGAGTGCTTTTAAAAAACATAGAAAAATTAAAATTCTAAATTGTGTATAGACAAATATAATTTTACCTCATAGTCTACGCTATTTGTAACTTCCACGTAAGCAAAACCACGTGGTTTTTTTGATCCTTTAATTGTTGGAATACGGACACTAATAACTTCATTAACCTTTTGTAGAAAATGTTTTTTTATGTCTTCTACAGTTGCTCTATAATTAAAAAAAATTATTTCAATATTTAAAATATCATTATGAAAATTATTCAATATAAAAATGTTTAATTATCATTTAACATATAATTACACTTAATAATTATGTTAATCTATATTAGTAAAGTTCAAAACGTTTATAATCAACGATTTAGAAGAAAAAATATTTTTTTAAACAAATTATTATAATTTTTATCTTAAAATTTTTTTTTTTGTAAATTTACTCGATCAACAATTTTTTAAAGAAAAAGTTGTCAAAAAAAATTTGTTTATTTTCCAGATGAAAAATATATATCTATTTTTTTTCAATCGTTGAAAAAAAAATTCAACTTACTGAAATGGAATATTTCCAACGAATAAGACATATCTTTTTTTCTTTTCTGTATTTTCTTGATTCGACATTTTTTTAACATTTTGATTTTTCTGTTGCTTTGGTTTAGTTGGTTTTTGAATTGATTTTTTAATATCATTTTCTGTATCATTAGTGGTTTCAATTTCAAGCTCTTTCATTTCTTGTTCGTCTTCTTCACTATTATCATTTTCCTCGTCAGTTGCATTACTATCATTCATTTCAACATTTTCCTCCTCTTCCATTAACTGACTAGATTCTTCTGAACTATCATCTTCACTTTCATTTTCAACATTTTTACTATCACTATTGTTTTCCTCAGAAGAGTCTACTTCATTTTCAATCAACATTTTACTATTCTGTACAGTCTTTAATGTTTTTTTATTCTCTGATTTTAATGGCTTATTTAATGATTTTGCATCATTTATTTGAGTTTTCACATTCTTACTTTCAACTGTAGTTTCAATTTTTTTCTTCATATTATTTTTTTCAATAGATTCTTTATGTTCAAGCTGTGATTCATTTGTAGTTTCTAAATTAGATTTTTCTTGTTTCAATTTCTTTTTTTGAGCTTTTGTAAGCTTTGGAATTTCAGATGATGAAGAAGATGGAGTTTCTTGAGCAATGGATAACTTTTTTTTAAATACACGTAACTTTCTTTTTGCAGTTTTACTTATATTTTCTCGACTTTCAATTTCGGCAATTTTTTGTTTTAGAACATCAATTGATACAGTATCTGACACTTTATACTGACCATGTTCTTTTCTAGATTGTTTTCTTTTTTCACGTTTTGCTTCTTTTGCTTTTGAATCTTTAGATTTTCCTTTCATTTCTTCGTTTATATTATTTTCATTAACATTAATATCGTCTTCACCAGAAATTACAGAAGATTGTTCTACATTTAATTTCTCACTATTGTTAAGATTCTTCTTTTTCTTTGATTTTTCAAATACTGATGTATTGTCAGTTGGAGAAATTTTTGTCAAATTAGATTTTACATTTTTATTCAAATGTACATTACTTGAATGTTGCTTTTTCATTTGTTTCTTTTTATGTCCGCTTTCGTTTAAATTTTTCAACTCTTCATCTCCAACAACCTCATCAATATTTCGTTTCTTCGTTTTATTCTTCATGTCTGTAAACATAAAGTATTTTTTAATGTGCAATGAATAATAAGAAACTTTTATGTTACAGTCGCTTAGTAATGAGAAACAAAAATGTGAAAAAACGGTTGATATTAGAAGAAAAAGTATGATGAAATAATTGTTTTTAATTTAAAAAGGTAATGATTAATTTTGATAATATAAGATGAAATCAAAATCGAATTTGATAAGTTCAATACAATTTTTGTACTATCAGTAGTTAGATTAGTATTTAAAAATTAAAATGTGATTAAACTTGTACAAAATATGAAATGAAATTAATTTATTATGTTTAAGATCAATAATATTGTTACTAACTTACCGAATTATTTATAGTTTAATTGCAATTGTTCAATAACGTGCTCGTAGCAGATACAGCGAAACCTCTCATAAGACAATTTTAGTGGGGGGTTCTCTTAAAGCAGGTTTTTCGCAAGAGGAGAAATTGATGCGCAGTGACCGTTTGCGCATGGCGGTCTATTTCAAAATAATGTTGGAGTTTATTGAAAATTATGTTAGAAGAAATAAAGAGATGAATATAAAAAATAGTAGAAAAATTACAGAAAGTAATCATAAATTTCTTTCTTGCATTTTTTCCATAACCAAAATTAGCCTAATATTTATGCTATTGTGTTTTGATAGGTTTTGACAATTCATAATAGTGGTTGTTTTTTTATTTCTATTAAGTATTTTATTTATGTTTTATATTGCAGTTATTTTGTTTTTTTCGATTTAAAAATACATAGTATTTTAGAAGATATTTAATTGGGCTTAAAATTTTTGAAAAATATAAATTACCTCTTTAGAATTTATTTTATTACAGGTAAGAGATATGATAAGTAGTTTTTAAGTGTGCAAAGTATTATCTAACAAGGAAATATCAAACTTTAATATTTGGCTTTAATCTTTTAAATTATTACCATCTACCTCTAAAATAAAGTTATTTATTAGAAATTAAATTAATGAATTGTAATAGTTGTAATTCAAAAAAAAAAAAAAAAATGAAACAGATAATCGATTCTAGAAGTATTTAAAAGAATTTATATAATGATGTAATTTGTATAATTATTATAAATGAAAAAGATAGGGTACAAATGTAACGAGAATTAAGTAATTTTTATTATTTGTCTCATAATATATTTAGAATTAAAATAAAGATCTGAGTTTCAACAATTTTCTTACATAATGTAATTTAAAATATTATAAAGCAACGTTTTAAATATATAATGAAAATAAATATTTTTAATGTAATTATTTATGAAGAACACATTTCATAACATTCGTATATTCTTTGACATTATAGCTTTGGAATTATATCACTATTGTTAGCATCAGAACTTTTGGAAACTTCTTCTTGAGATTTTTTCATAGTCAGATTCTCCCATTTCCGAAAGAGACGATAATCCGAAAGTGTATATTCATTTTTCTGTTTACACCAATTGTGTAAAATGTGAACTGTGGTGTTAATATCTTCAGAACTTGGAATACTGATACTGTTAGGCTCTATTGATTGGAAGATTTTTCTCTCATGTAACTTTTCCTTCGCAATGGTTTGAGGATTTTTTCCTGTGACAATTTCAATAATTTCGCAGTCGCTGAGTTGTTTCCATCCAGGCTCGTGCTGATCTTCAGATAACCATTCTTTCACCTCAGATCGATCAACTTTTTCAAGACCTATTCAACAATAAGAAAGTTATTGTAAATTTTAATTATAATAATCTTATAACAAAAACTTTGCTCTATAAACAAACATTTATGATACAAGTGTTGATGAATAAAGAGAGTGTAAAATATGTACGTGGGATTAGAGTGTCCGTAAAAAAGTCGACTTTCGAATTTTATTTGGACCACCCCCCAGTTCGTTTTCAATACATAGTGCCAGTAATCAATCGAAATTTCCCATTGAAAGTACACGGGGAAAATGCACTTTTTTTAAAAAAAAAAAAATTCATAACTTTTTCAATTATTGAGCAAAAGATTTTTCAGGTCACAAATTCTTTTATTTTTAGCTACACTTTATGTTGGCATTTTTAAAAAAAATTAAATATTCAAAATTTTTAAAATGGTAGATGATCAAAAATAGGTCTTAAAAATGCATTGCAATGTAATCAGTGATTTATCACATAAATCCAGAATTTTGAAAAATTAAATTTTGCTATCCGATTCTTGACTAGAGACTCAAAAACCTCACGAATAAGAAGAATTGTTGTATTATTTTGAATAATTATATGATAAATCATTTATTACATTGCAGTGCATTTTCAAGACCTATTTTTGATCATCCACCATTTTGAAAACTTTGATTTAGAAAAAAAAAAACTAATTTAGAAATTAGTATTGCAAAAATATATTTCCATTTTATGAACATAAATGAATAAAAACGTAGGATATAATTTACCTTTAATTTTGTTGACCATTGCATGCATTTGGCTAATTGTTGTTGAATTGTCAGAATCATTACTATTCTTTTCCATTACTCTTGAAATTCCACGGAGCTTATTCCAAGCATTTTGTAAGTTCTCCTGAGTCAAGGATTGGAATGCCTTTGCAAGCATGCAACAGCAGTCTCTGAGGTTAAAAGATTTCATAAAGTCCTGAACAGCAATGTGGTCATTTTTTAATATTAACAATCTAAGTAGATCCTTTCGATAGAGAGTTTTTGCCTTTGCAAATACGCCTTGATCCATTGGCTGGATGAGTGACGTAACGTTGGGAGGTAAAAATTCAACTTTAAAATTTTCGTTTACATTATTTAGAATTTCTTTCGGTGGATGGCAGTTAGCATTATCGAGTAACAGCAATACTTTTCCATATTTTTGTGTTTGCACTTGCATGGCCTGTACTAACGGAATAAACTGATCTTTATACCAACTGAAAAAAATCTTTGCATTCATCCAAGCTGAGGCTTGATGTGTATACGTGACTGGTAAAGACGTAGTATAATTATTATTAAAGCAACGGGGTCTTTCAGATTTTCCAATAACTAGTAATGGTAGAGTGAAAGAACCATCTGCGTTTGAACAAAATAAAACGGTCACCCGGTCCTTTTTTAATTTCCAACCTGCATAAAAAAAATATTAAAATAAATTGTAACTATAAATATGTATTGGAGTCACTACAGAGAAAATTGCAAAAATTTTTTTGTCTATTAATAATTAATAAACATTTTGTGTTTTTTCTTAAAAGTTAGTGAATAATTTTAATTTTTATCCAATTTTTATTAAAAATAGCAACTCATTTTACTATATCTGAAAGATTCTCTATAATTCAGTTCGCGGTTTAATTTTGTTAATAAATGATTCATTAACAAAATATTAAATAAAAAAATTTTATTTATTTTATAACTTTTGAACAAATTTTTTTTTAACAAAATTCAAGAAATAAATTTGTAGAGAAACTTTTGGAGATTAAAATGAGCGATTGTTTATAAAAATTGGATACAAATTACAATAATTCCGTTGACTAACTTTCAAGTAAAAACACAAAATGTTACTTAATTATTAATAAACAACAAATTTTAAGTAAAAATAATTTTTTCGGAAAATTGTACAACTGGATCTTTCAAAATTGAGTGAAATACATTTTAAATATATTTTTAGTTTCCTTGTTAAAAACTACTTAGTTTGATGTTTAAAGATACATATATCCTTAATCTTTTTAGTTTAATAAATTAGGAATGAGTCGAGATTTCATGGAGATTTCACTTTAAATGAGTTTATAATTTCCATTTAAACTAAATTTAAAAAGTGTGAATTGTTTTGTAAGTTTTTAAAAATCATCACATTCAACTTTGCAGTTTTATAGGTTATAATTATTGCAATTCACGAATTTCAATATAATTACAAGTCAAAAAGATTAAAAACTACCAACATTTTTTTATATTAATTTATTAAAGTTAGAAAAACTGTGAAAATGTTAAATTAAAGTGTGTTTTACCTGGACAATCATAATCCTCGTTTGCTCCAGCTAGAGTTACTTCTGGCAGCCGTTTCCAATAAACTCCACTTTCGTCTGCATTAAAAATTAAACTCAAATCGCAGCCTTCCTCTTCAACTAAATTTTGAAAATAAAAGGCAAAACTTATGGCAGCATCAACATCCGCAGATAATTTTTCTCCTTTCATAGATAACTGTCTAATACCATATCTTTTTTTAAACGCATGCAGCCAGCCATTGCTAGCTTTAAAATTTTCCGAGCCGTTTAATTGTTCATTTAACACCAAAGCCTTTTCGCAAATCAGCGGTCCACTCACTGGTTCACCCGCAGCACGTTTCTCGTTAAACCACCTGATTAAAACTTTCTCCAAATCAGCATTATGCACTGGTTTTTTGACCTTCCTCTTTTGCAGGACTTTTGGACTTAAATTCTCAACATCTTTAAGGCTTTCTGAATTTTTCTTCAATCTACTAACAACCGATGGTGAAATATGGTATTGCTCAGCTATTTCTCTCAACTTATTTTTTGTACTTCCATTATTGAGGCTTTTTATAATATTAATCTTCTCCTGTAATGGAAGATGCACGTGAGTCTTCTGTTGCTTATTGCACATAATCAGTCTTTACACTTACAGAAATATTAAACTTTAAATATAAACTACATAACTGTGATCACAGATAGGGGTTTTTTTGCACATTTTTAGGCAGGTTATTTTCTGTTTACATTGTTAGCCATATGCTCCGCTTGACGCTACTGCGCATGACGCAATATATATCTAAAGTTTTAGGGAAGGGGAACACGATAGGGGAAATTTGTCTTATTAGAGGTTGTCTTATGAAAGGTTCGCCTGTAAGCAGACCGCATAGACCATAGAAAAAAATATAATTAGAGTTTCCTCTGTTCCATATATTAAGGTACGGTCACACCGCATCTCATGCATGCAGAAGCATTTAAGGCTGTGTTTACATCAAAACTTGAGCAGTCCACTGTGACGTCACCGAGCAGACCAAGTGGTAATTTAGCGCAAATATTTCTTTTATCAACACATATATAAGTATGTATTAGTATACGTCGATAAAAGAAATATCTATGCTAAATTACTACTTGGTCTGCACAATGACCCCAGCAAAAAAATCTTATTAAATGCACCGTCTAGTGAATCAGACATTTTAAGAATGCGGATTCATTATTAACGTTTTCAATCGGAATGTAACATTCTGAATAGGACATCTTTTCAATGAGTAATTTCCTATTAATGAAAAATTAAATATATCTCCTTAGACAATTTTGAATCGGATCGAAAAATGTTAGGTTATGTTGTCATATTTCGCACAAAATTTAATAATTTTTAATAAACAAGCTTTGTAAATAAATTATACGCTAAAGTTTTTGATTTGCTTAATGCTTTTAAAATTGAAAAGGTACATATCACTGTCTCTCAATTTACAGTTCATGAGGAAGAAAAACTTGAAAAATGTAAATGATTTGAATCGGAGTCAATCGGAGATTTCCTTTTAAGAATGCCGATTTAACACGCAGCTTCCGACCGATTCAAAAATATTGAATAGGTTTTTATTTATTGGGACGTTACAACTGGACTGTTCAATTGGTAAAAAAAAACGCTTGTATATTTATAATATTATAATATAAAAAAATGTGTTAAGAAAACAAGAAACAAAATTGTATCAAACTTATTGTTTTTATGTTTAGTTATTTTCAATCAAAATTAATTTTAAATTATTTCAAAATTATTATTAAGTGCAATTAAAATTAAAAGTCTTAATAAATCAAGTATACATGTTTATTTATTTTTTATTATTATTATTATTTATAAATTTAATTTCAATTTATTTTATTGTATTAGAAAAAAGTTCTTGTGATAATTATGATGTTAATTGAGTAAATTGAGCTGAGCCGCTCGCTCGTAGAAGGGTACGGTACGTAAAGTTATTTCGCGTGGAGTGGGGAGGCCTCTGAACATCGTTTTACTCACTACTTTCCGGGGACTCCGGTTTTCGTTGAAATGTGGTTGAAATAAAATTACGTGCCCTTCTAAGATCCAGCGGCTCAATTCAAAAGTTGATTTTTATAAAAAAAAATACATTTTAACAGTTAGTAAAATTATTCCTAGTGAAAATTAATCTCAAAATAATTGATAAAAATTTATTTTGATTAAAAACATCACAGAAAATTAAAAGGCATTAAAATAAGCTGCTCCTATTTACTTACTCTCTCTCTCATGCTCTTTGTCGCAGAATTGGGTGCATTCACACAAAAAAATTACAGTTCAATTTTACTACGTCGGACAAAAAAAAACGTTACTACGTCGGAAAAAGTGACCACGCGTTGGACGCAGTAAAAAAAACCGTCAATATATATAATTTTATGATATTACAATACATAAATAAAACACTTAATTGCTAGTAATTAACTGATATATAAAAAAATTATTAATTAATTTATAAAATGAAAAACAATTTTATGATTATGTACGTAGTAAATTTACATTCGAAGTGTAATTTTACAGAGCTTATGTTAATTTATAAGATCGATCATAGATAAAAAATAAAACTGCATCCGAAGCGTGGTCACTTTTTTCCAACGTCTGACGCAGTAATTTTACACTTTTTTCGAAACTGCTTCAGAATTACAATTTTTGATACTACGCAATAGTATAATAAAGAACCAAAAATATTTTTCTAGGACTAGGTTTAAAATTTTCGATCAGTACGTCAATTGAAAAAAATGATTTTTTATCATTAAAACTTAAAAATTTAATAGTAATATCATTTGAAAAAAATTTTCGATTTTTTTTTTGAAAAGTATGTTTAAAAACACACATTTTGAAAAAAAAACTTTTAAAATTGATGCATTTTTAAGGAAGTTATGAGCATTCAAAAATTGAAAGTCATTAAAATTCTGAAATTTTGAAAAATCCATATTTCGATAACGGCGTGCTAAAAAAATTTGAAAAAAAATCGTGAAAGCTAGTCTCAATTAGTACGAAAAAAAACAAGATGTAAATTCAAATGTTCATTATGAACATTTTGCTTCCTCTTTACGACCAGCAAAAAAATTTGCTTCCTCGTGGAGAAAGCATTAACATTAAAATAAACATACATTAATAATACAATAATATAAACATTTGAGTATACATTTGAGTTAAATTTAATAAATTAATGGAAGTTAAAAAATCAAAATTTCACATTATAGCTGAAATTTCTAAAAATTAATGAAAAATAATATATAATTTATAATTATTTACAATTATATCGGTTTGTTTCAATGCAAGGAACACAATTATTTTATATTTAAACTTGAATTTAAATAAATACAAAATTTTTCAGCTAAAATGGGGATTTATTTTTTAATTTTTATTAATTTATTAAATTTACCCCAAAAGTATACTTTATATATATCAATCAATTCGTTATTATGCAAGAAATACAATTATTTCATATATAAACTTCAATTTAAAAAATCACAAAATTTTATTGACAAAATGTGAATTTTTGATTTTTTAACTTTCATTAATTCTTTAAATTTAAATTGAAACTATACTTTATATATACCAATCGATTTGTCTTGACGTAAGGAATACGATTTTATTATATATAACCTTAAATTTTTCTATTTAAAAATTTTTTCGATTAAAAAAAATTTTTGGAAAAAAAACGATAAAATTTTTTTTTTGGTATTTTTTAAAATCCTTTGGTCAGATTTGAGATATTAATATCATAAATGAGCCTACCAAATTTTATCTAAATCCATTAAAACCTGTTAAAGTTATCTCATAAACAAAAAAGGGATCCACACACACACACACATCCGGACAATTGATCAGGATCTCATATAACATGTTTCTATATAGAAAAAAATTTGTTTCCGCCACTTTGAAAATTTTTATAAACGAAAGGACTACAAAGCTTCCTCCACGAGGAGGCAAAAAGTTTCAAAAATAGAAATTTTTATTATTTTTCAAAATTTTCATTTTTTGAAAGAATTTAAATTTTTTAAAATTTAGCCTAGAAAAGAATCGTCAATGAAAAATAAAATAAATTGTGAGAGAAGATAAAATTTTAAATTTTGGAGAATTTTTATTTTTATTTTGAAAAAATATTTACAAATTAATTATGTTTTTTAATTTTTCATAGTATATTTAAATAATTTTAAATACTCAATATTGTCAAAAAAAATTTGACAACTCTAAACAACATTAATTTCGATGTATTGTATAGATATCAAAGTTCACTAACTTATTTTCTAAAAGTATAATAGATAAACAAACAAATTGCATGAAAGACCATGCACTGAATAAGGAATTAAATTAAAAATGTGTTAATTTATGTTAATTAAGAAAAAATAATACCTGGATAAGCATCTAATTTGTATTCTTAATCTTGAAAGTTATGAATGTATTATATATAACCAAGAGTGATTGCTCATCAGAGTAAAGTCTAGTCTTCATAAGTGTAAAGCTCATGAAAAATTTCTTATACAACTCCTAGAAAGCAAAATCAGTAACTTTAAAAAATTTTCCAAAACTTTATTTACTTAAACAAGTAAACAAATCAAAACGTTTACTTTATTTATTTCAAGTGTTTATTTTAGAAAATTAAAATTTTATTTAATTTTAACAAATATTCATATTTTGTAATTTTTCTACTTTTAAAGACAACATGAAATTAAGTTTTATCAAAATTTGTATTATAATTGTATTTATTGTTTTAAATTGTCAAGTTTTGACAGTAGTGTTTGGAGAAACAACTTTATCAGAAAATAAAAATTTAACTCACCATGAAGAGCATTTAAAAGATTTAAATGTAAGTAAATATAATTCAAAAAAATTGAAATCTAGTAAAAGTAATAATGAAGAAATGGAAAATTCTCCTTGGTTCTTAAATATACCACTATTGCCGGTAATAGTTGCAACTTCGAATTCAATTCCCGAAGGTTCTTGTAAAAGACAATTACGATTATATTTTAATCATTTAAAAAATGGCACATTATGGGCGACTGAAAGTAAGTATTATTGTAAGAAAATAATTTTTTTTTAAACTTTTATTTTAATGTATAAAAAGTACGTTAAACTACTTTAGCTGTGGGACGAACATTTTTTGTAATTTTTCTTATAACAGTTTTAGAAAAAAATTAATAACTTAAAATTCGTTTGCTATAGATGAATAGTGACTTTTTTAGTAGTCAAAAAATGTATACTCTTTTAAATAAATTTAATTGTGAAATAAAATTTAATTTTTTTGTAATAAATTAATAAACAATTTGTATTACTTATTATCTTTAGAGATGAGAATTATAATGTAATTTATATATAAATTATACATTCCACATTTATCTTTAGAACGACAACACTTACAATGCAATATCTATATTTATAATTGGAAATACTAATTTTTGCTTTTAGAAATCTAAAGATAAGTATGAAATGTAACATTCGTGTGAATTATTAATTTTTTTCTAAAAATGTTGAAAAAATTTTTAACTTACAATAAATTATAAACAATAAATATTTCAAAAAAAAAAATACTTGAAAGTCTTTCTTAATTTTCTGTAAGATAACAAAATTGAGAAATAGTGGAATAAGTGTTGTGCTTAATTTAAAAAAATTTTTATATCAAAAAACGCTATATTTTCACATCTCTAATTTAGAGATTATTTTATAAACACTGCTCATGTGGAATTTAAATAATTTATCGAAATAAAATATTTCAATATGGCTTATAAATATTAAAAACTATTTGGCAAAATGGAATTAGATTCGACTTAAAATATCTATCGGATCAATTCATTCAATATTTTAAATAAATTTCCCAACAAAATTAATATTGTGGACCTAATAATTACATGCTGTTAAGAAAAGCATAACGAAACAAATTTATTCTTTTTTTTTATTACAGTGTTCGATTCATCCGCTAAATATCCATATGGTGTTTTTGATGGTTTCACTCGGCATTTGGGAAGTTTTGATCAGTGTGAAAGAATTGAAACAAAAATTATAAATAATGAAGATGGAAAAATTGAGGAAATACGCAGTAGATATTGTTTGGTGGATGTAAAATTTAAAGAAAAAAATGAACCATCAAATTTTACTGAAGAATACAATCTATTTTTTGATTCACAAGATTCTGCCTGGGAAGCAATCAGAGTATTTTCACTATTTTTATAAACATATTAAAATTTATTTTATAGAAGAATTTATGTTCTGAAAATGATTATAATCATTTTCCATATGACGAAGTGATTATTTTAGGAAAAAGGCGATTTTCGACGGTTCAAAAGATACTTTTTGCAAATGGCATTGTGTTTTCCTGCAAAATGTCAAACAGAGGATATTGTGACGGCACTAAAAGAACCCTTGGATGAATTTAGTACAAAATACAATATTAAAGTTGAAGCATCAATTTTACCTATGTATTGCTCTTCTCTTGCTTCCAATCAAGATGCATTTTCTAATTATGAAATAATTTTCAGGTAAAAAATTAAATTCTTTTAAATAAATAATTCGTTTTGTCACAAAATAATTAAGAAAAAGAAACTCTTGGATTTTTATATATGTACATATATGAGGAATTTCAGATGAAGTGATCAAGGTGAAACAAATTTTTCTCAAATCGTACTTAAAGCGGGTAATTTCTAATTTTATAATTTTCCGTGAGGGATAGTTTTAGGTACATTTTAATTTTTTTTAATAATTAAATAAGAAAACTTTTAATATCAATTTATATAGCTAAAAAGTCTTTGTGAAAATCGTGAAATATTTGAAAATATTTTACCATCTCATCTAATTATCGTAAGAAATAATAATTAATCTAAGTACATATTATCATAAAACGTCGCTAATGTAGAATACATAAAGTAAAAGAAATAAGATTTATTACAGAAATCTTCTTTATGAATAGTGGCAAAGAATGAGAGATGTATCATAAGCAATGTGAACAAAAATGCACTGAGAGAAACTATATTAGTAGCGATTACCATTTCGTTAGTAAGAGTATTTTTACTAAATTATATTAGTTACTGTTACCATTTGGTTAGTAAGCGTAATCATTTCGTTAGTAAGGTAACTAACTAAAACTAATTAGTTAAACCAACTAATAAAATAGTATATATATAAATACACATTTTTAATTAAATTCAATAAATACTATAAAATAGCAATATAGTAAATTGTTGATCAGATGTTGTGTCTGAGATGTTAATTATGAATACCAACTATTTTGTTTAATAATTAAGTATTATAAAACTAAAAGATGATGATTCAATTTCCCTAGAAAAATCGTACGTGCTCATATACATTTTTGCACGAAACGTGCTCATTAACATTTTAGCAAAAATCGTGCTCTTTTTTCTAAATCATCCCCAGTAGAGCAATGATTTGAATGGTATATAAACCCCGACTCAAATCAGAGAGGATGTCAAAAGTTCCAGTGTGTAAATCCCTGTGATTAGTGTAATATCATTGTTGAGCGATCCTTCAGTTTATTTTACGTGAAAGTTGTTATATATTCTTTCCGGTGAATTAGAGTAAATTTTTATAAATTCTTTCTATATTTGGTGCAAATCGCTTCTATTTGACACTTCCTATAACAGGTGCAAGTGAAGTGAAGCAACATTTAGAAAAAGTGAAAAACTATTGTTATAAAAATATTTCGAGTTGTGAAAATTACACAAGAAGAAGAATTCTTTCTAACAAATAATTTTTTTAGAATTATGATTTGAGAAAATCTTATTCTGTAGAATTTTTGCACAATTTTCATTAAACATATTATATCGAAAATTTGTATTTTCTAGAACAATAATTTTAAATTAATATTAAATATTAATATTAAAAAAAAATGAATATTCTGTTCATTTTTTTCTACAAAATTACTATTCTTATAATTACTAATCTGCAAAATTAATATTTAACAAGACAACACTGAAAAATTTGTTTTGCGGCAGCTGTCCCAATTGAAAAATTTTCATATTTTTACTCATAAAAACTCATGATAAATGTTAAGTATAAAGTTAATAAAATATAGAAATTTTTCGTTTAGAACAGCTGCAGTACCAAATTGTTTTCAATGAATGTTTCTCACAAATTGAGATTTGATTAAAAATTTATGACACATTAATTTTTGTCTAAATAAAATTTCAGCAACATTGATAATCGGTTTAATGGAAATACTGAAAAATTAATACTTTAACAATTTAATATTCGGCAAAAGAAATATTCTACTGAGTAAGATTGTATAAAATTATAATTTTAAAAAATTTATTTTAGAGCTTATTTCTGCGTCCCAATAGTTTCTTTCATTGAAACTAAATATGAATCAAATTCTTTATACAACGACTCAGCGCTTGTCTCATTGAAATCCAACTACTTATTGTAAAAGTGAGTAGTATACCAGCAACCAGCTTGATTAATCAGCATCATTCCTCCAAGGAAAATAAATAAATTATTATTTTATAATGGGATGAAATTCCTGAATTGTTCAAGTCAAAAATTCGAAGTTATTGAACTGGCTTGTAACTTTGGTAAATTGTTGTCCTATATGAGTGTAACAAATCCCTAAAATATATTAGTTCATTTAAATAAAATTTGTAGAAAAAAGAAGGGTTAATTTTGGAAATAAATGGGGTTGAAAATTGATTTTCGAAAAAACTTTTTATGGCATTGAAAAGTACATGAAAAATCCTTTAAAAAACACTAGTAGAAAATTAAAATCCATAAACTTATGTTAAAGTTATACGCATATTCGAATAATTACTTTTTTTGTATTCTCCATCGTTTGCAGTATTATGTTTAGTTGTCAAAAATTTGTACCTAATCATGAATGGGTTTGGAAAGAAATTTTTTCTTTACCTTGATCCTTTAAGATGAAATTTCCCATATGTATATTTGGATATTTACATTGAACATCAATTTTTTATTCTGCTCGTAAAAATATCAAAAAATTCCCAATTTAAATAATTTTTTCAATTTTCAGTTTAACATTTCTTTTAATATTTACTATTATCGTCATAAGTACCATTATTGACATAAATTCTGACGAAAAGAATGAGCCGTCCTTATTAAAGAATCTACTATTCTGTTTTTCTGCTCGCAAAAATTGGAACAACATTTTTAAAATAAATTATGTACATCCTGCATTAGACTCCATACATTCTATTCGAGTAATATTGACAGGTTTGGCTGTTATTGCTCACAGACAAATTCAATACTTATATTCAGGAACAATGAATGGACGTTATTTTGAATGGGTTATTATAAGCAATGCTAAAATAAAAAAATTCAATTCAATTATTAACAAAATTAATTAACAATTAACTAATTGACATTAATTAATCTGTAGATATCGTCTGATCCCATTTTTGGATTACTTCACAATTTTGGAATTGTTGTCGATGGATTCTTCGGTTTGGGAGGGCTATTACTTTCTTACGCATTATTGGAGACATTGAATAAAACAAGAAAATTAGATTACGTACATTTGATTTTAAATCGAGTAATGAGGTGCTGTAATACTTAAAATAAAAAAAACACCAGTGATAAAAAACTAAATTAATTTTATACTAATTATTTCATATTGATAATTAATTTTGCAGATTGTTACCACTTTATATTTTTGTGACTTTTGGATATGCAACGATTTTTCATCGATTTGGTTCTGGACCATTTTGGGAAGTTGCTGTTGGTCTTAATCGAGATTCTTGTTCTTCTCATTGGTGGTCAAATTTGTTTTTCATCAATAATTATTTTAGTGGTGACAACAAGGTACCATAAAATCTATTTTAAGACTCAATATTTCCAAGATACATTTATATTAATAATTTTTAATGTTATCGATGCATTTATTAAATTTACTCTTGTTCAGTGCGTAATTCAGTCTTGGTATTTAGCTGTGGATTTTCATTGTTTTTTAATTGGATTATTGTTAATTACTGCATTTAACAAAATGTCTCGTAAAATTGGTTACATATTTTTATGTTGCACCTTAATTTTTTCTGCTGCATTGACATTTTATTTTACATATAATAATGATGCAGACCCAATATTAATCTCCTATGTCACGTAAGAATTTAGTTTATGGTAACTTATTCTTTAGATATTAATTTTTCATTGTGTTTTTTTTTAAAGAGTTTTGTTTTTATCTATCAAAATGGTATTATTTTCATTTAATAATAAATTAAACATATTAGATAACTAATTTCCTTTATAGGTTTAGAATAGCAGAAGAAATGGATTATTTTCTTAATTATTACGTTAAATCTCATTTGCGTTTGGCTGCCTATATTACCGGATTAATTTTCGGGGCTCTGTTATATGACTGCAAAAAAACTAGATGGCGCATATCAAAGGTAAAATCAATAATAGTTTAATAATAATGAGAATATATTAATAATAATATTAAAATAATTGTTTTATTTTTTGCAGATGTGGTCACAAATTTTTTATCTTAGTGCAACTTTCTTGGCTTATACTTTAACGTGGAGTGGAACACTTTTCATGAATCCAAATTTAAAAATAAATGCTTTCCTAAAAGCTCTTTACGCAAGTCTTCATAGACCAATTTTCTCCTTCTGTATTTGTGCTATTCCCCTTCTCTTTTCAATTGGAGACGGTTTAGGTAATTATGAAAATAATAAATTATTATTAATTTTACAGAGACAGTATCAAAATTACAAAAAAAATTTTAAATTGAATAAAACATTTATATTTTTAGATTTAGAACAATATTAACATCTTACACCAAATAATATTTTATTTAATTACTAACAAATAGGAAAAATGTATGTAAAAAAACAAAAATTTTCAATATCAAAAATAACAAACAATAAAAAATATGTTTTCCATATAAAAAAGCAATTATAAATAATTAAAATAACAAAAGTAAAAATAATAAATTTGAAAATAACAATATTTATATAAGTTTTGTTTAATTTAACATTATTTTTGAAAAATTTTTTTGTAATTTTGATATATACTCATTTTATAGTGAGTAGACATTTATGTGAAATAACTAAAAAGTTGTCTATTGTTCTTGTAGAATTTTATTATAAAATTATAAATATAAAATGGTTGCAACCTATATCAAGAATAACTTTTTCAATTTATCTTACTCATTATGCGATATTTCTCTATGAACTTGGAACAACAAAAACATCATTTACATTTACCTTTTACAATGGAGTAAGTCAAATCTTTGATATTGAATGATTAAAATTTTTAATATTTCATTTTATTGAAATTCGTTTTTTTTCACAGGTAAAATACATTGTAGGTGATTTTATTTTTTCTGTCCTCCTTGGATTATTCTTTGCTATTCTAATTGAATTTCCATTTAGAAACTTTGGAAGCTTAATTTTAAAAAGGTAGACAACAACAACAGTAAAAAAAATACTTTTTCACATTTTGTTAATAACTTGATTAAAAGTCTAATTCTAATTAAATTTTATTTTCAGATCCTCAAAAATCATTAAAAAAGAAGAATAATAATTACATACATAATATGAAGATAAGTCGAAAACGATCCAATTTAACTAAATTTTTATAATGATATTGTTATATTCGCATTGGTTTCCTTGCATGTTCTCTTAGATCGAAGACGCATTAGCTTCGTAAATAAAACAGGTTTTTAAAATTATTAAATTACTGTTATAATATCCTGAGACAAATGACATATGTCACATGTGTGATTAATGACATGTAATGAAAAGTGACATTAAGCTTTTCATTTTATAATAGGAATTTTTTTACTGTTTTTGTCTTTGCGAGGAGCCAGTTAACATTTTTGTAATTATAAATTAGAGATCCGATAATTAATCCAGTAACATAAACAGACAAATGCATTTCAGTTTTAATATGTAATAATTATTGAAATATTCAATTTTCAATATTTTCATGTATTGTCAAAGTTTAAATAATTTTTTCAAAATTTTAATTATTAATTAATTAATTAGCTAATTAACTAATTAACTAATTAACTAATTCATAATTATATTTGGGGGATTTCACGTGAAGTGATCAAACGGGAAAAATAATTTTGTTCTAGTACCTAATTATTTTTTTTCTCTTAAATATTAAAATAAAAAATTTTATTAATATCAGTTTCGAAAGCTTTTTTGATGCTTTTTCAATTGGTAATATATGTACTTTTGAAAAAAAAATTTTTGACCAGAAAAAATGTAACTCAAAAATAAATTTGACATTTTCTGAATGAAAAGTACGATTTTTTTTAAATCAAAAGTTGAGGTTTTTTCCTATAAAAATATATAGTTGTAAAAATGTGACAAGAATGTTTAAATATTGATAAATAATACACCCAGAGAAATGTTTTATTTGAACCAAATATAATATATTTACATTAAATAAACGTATATTTGTCTTACAGCCTACTAGCCTATTTATTTGGTGTAAATAAAATTTTTTATTTAAATCAAATAAAAATTTATTATGCTCTGAGAAAAATATATCATTTCTCTGGGTATAGTAAAAAAATGATCAAAAGTAGCCAAAAATGATAAAAAGAATGCAAAAAATGTTAATTATCAATATTTAAACATTCTTGTGCCACATTTTCAACTACATATTTTTATAAGAAAAAACCTCAGCTTTCGATTAAAAAAAAAAGAAAAAATCGTACCATTTACCCCGAAAAAGTAAAATTTATTTTTGAGTTTAATTTTTTTGGTCAAAAATTTCATTTTTGTCCTACCTGCACGGAAAGTGTGTTATTTCGTGCACTTGAGGCGGTCGCAAAGTAAGTGATTCCCGCCCAGAGATGGGGTGAGCGGGCGCAAAGTACATTCGCGCCCACTGACGTCATAGATGCGGGCGCAAAGTACATTCGCGCCCGCTGACGTCATAGAAGCGGGCGCAAAATACATTCGCGCCCGCACCACTAAAAAATGTATTGTTTTCATTTTTGTGACATAATAAACATACGTAATATACGTAAACAACTACATGTAATTTACCTTAAGTATATTATCTTCCCAACCCTGATGGAACATTGAAACAAGCGGACTTGCATGCACTCAATAATACACTTTCCATGCAGACAGGACAAAAAATGTTGTTCGCAGCACGGGCGCAAAAGGTGATAGTGTCTCAGGCGAGATTATGAAGAAACCTCGGCGACCCTACGCACCCTCGGCTTCGCCTCGGGCGCTTCGGGTCCCCTTGGTTTCTCTAATCTCGCCTTCGCCACAATCACCTATTTTGCGCCCTTGATACGAAAATAACTATTTTTATTAATAAGAAAATTTTATTTTAATATTTAAGAAAAAAAAATTATTAAAATATGCGCTGTACAGTAAATTTCCAAACAAAAACTTTTACCCCCTCCCCCTCGGAAAATATTAGACTAAATGAAAAAATATTTTTACCAAAAATTAATACCAGTAATGGGACGAGATTCGGCCCATAAGTTTGTCAAATTAGAACTACTGAGAATCGGTGTCATTACTGTCCCTGTATTAGCCTATGTGTACTTATAAAATAAAGAACAGTTATTTACAAACACATCAGTAGATTGTAATTAGTTTAAAAAAAATTCTATTCATTTAAATAATTAATAAAAAAAAGATCAATAACGTATGCATCTCTTATAATAATAATTTATTTCTTTGTATAATACCCATTACAAGGTTTTTACAAACTTCTCACTTCGTTAATTACAAGAAAATATTTCACTCCTTATCTTTTTTCAACAATTTTAATATATTCGCATATATGCATCTCTTATATAAAACTAGAATATATGTCAAAGACAAGTGATCGGTAGAATAAAATTTTCATTGAAGTGTAAAACAGTGAAAGATATATTAAATTAGCAAAATTAAAATTAAATTAAATTAATTAAATAAATAATGAAAATTTTATATAATTATTAAAACAATTATATTTTGTAATTCAAAATTATCGAGAAAATCTTAGGTTTTTTTATATACAAAAGACAAGATGAATTTAAGCTTTTGCATAATTTGTGTTATTGGCGAATTGATGTTAAATTTTTTTATTTTCCCAATTGTGATTGGACAACATACATTATCGAATAGAGAATTTCTAATTAAAGAATGTAAGGAAACAAATTATTATACCGCAAAAATTGAATCGAATTCTGAAAGTATTTATAATGAAGAAAGTAAAAATGTAGTAAAGTCTCCTTGGTTCTTAAATATACCACTATTGCCGATAATAGTTGCAACTTCAAATTCAATTCCTGAAGGTTCTTGTAAAAGGCAATTACAATTATATTTTGATCATTTAAAAAATGGCACATTATGGGCGACAGAAAGTGAGTATTACTACTTTATTGTTTAGAATACTTGTAAACAATTTTATTTTTATTTTTTAATTTCACTTTTTTTTATTAAAAAAAGAAAAAAATGAGATTAAAAAAAAATTTTTATGAGGTCCGGAACATAAAAATCACTTGAAATGTGGGAAATTTTATTCATTATCAAAAAAATTGGTATTTTAACTTAAATTTTTTTAGTGTTTGATTCATCAGCTAAATATCCTTATGGTGTTTTTGATGGTTTCACTCGGCATTTGGGAAGTTTTGATCAGTGTAATCGAATTCAAACAAAAATATTAAATAATGAAGATGGAAAAATTGAGGAAATAGACAGTAGATATTGTTTAGTGGATATAAAATTTAAAAAAGAAAATGAAGAAACAAATTTTACTGGAGAACACAATATATATTTTGATCCGCAAGTTTCTGCCTGGGAAGCAATTAGAGTACGTTCTATTTACAGAATGTATTAACGCATGTAATATTCAATTTTGAACTGTAATATGTAAAATTGTTGAGATTTTTTTGAATTAGTATAAAAAATTGAGAAATTTAGGGTAAGTACTTCAATTACGGCGCATTCATAAAAAATAACTATTATTACTATTATATTTAATATAACTGTTGCAAAATGATTTAAAAAAATTATTTTAATCTTTTTTTGATACAATTACTAATAAAGATGCATATTTAAAAAATTATTAATTTAATTATTTGAGATCAAATTTTTTCCCTCGCCGTAATTGAAACATTTTTAAGATTTACATATTGGCTTCAATTACAGCGGGCAAAGTATCTTCAAAATTCACGTAATTTTGGTCACCGTAATTGATACACCAAAACTGATACAAACGCGCAGTAATAGAAAATCACGGTATTAGTTTTAATTTCTCATATTTGTTTAAATAATCGATTTTTATAAAGTGCAAATTTTTTTTTAATATCTAAATACCTAACATAAGCTTTTAGTTTAATAAGTCTTCAATATACTTTATACAACAGAAATGTCGAATTTTCTATTTCAAAGGTGTTTTGACTCTAATCGCGCCATAATTAGTGCATTTACCTATTATATAAAATACAGAGTGAGTAGTAATTTTACTTTTTATATTTTCCATTAATGTCTAAGTATTTTAAAATGGGTAATTAATTCTAAAAAAATAACACGCATATTATAACCCTTTTTTTATCATATTTTATACCTAATAGTCATTTTCTGTTAAAGTAAACAATGTTACCAAGTTATTTATTTATTATTATTATTATTAGTAAAAATTAAATTACATATCTGTAGGTGTAATTAACCTTTAAACTGCACCGTGGAAAAAAATCACGCCTAGTGTTTTTAGCGGTCTGTCAGACCGCTGTTTCCTATACTTTTGTGTTTTTCTAGTAAATTATGTAATGACAATTATCGTATGTATTTTTATTTTTTTACAATAAATAGACTAGGGTAAATGTACTAATTACGGCGCGATTCGAGTCAAAATACCTTTGAAATAGAAAATTCGACATTCCTATTGTATTAAGTAAATTGAAGACTTAATAAACTAAAAGCTTATGGTATTTAGATATTAAAAAAAATTTAACTTTTTAAAAATCTTAATATTACACTGGGTTACAAAAAAATGGTCAAGTCGTGTTTATTTAAAATTTTTTGTGTTTATTGAAAGTTTAGGTGTCACTGAACAAGAATATACCCAAAAAAAATTTGTCCATTCGGTCAGTTCCGTAGAAAACGAGATTAAAGTGTTAAAAAAATCGCCTTTTTAGCACTTTTTGAAGCGTTGTAAAATGAAAACGCAACAAGATAAAAATCTTCACGAGGGCTTGAATGAAAGCTTCAATCTTCAACTTTGAGTCCCAAAACTGAAAAGTGAATGATAATTGCGCAGAAAATTTATATAACATGAAATGAATATCTCAAATAGTCAAAATAGCTGGGATAGAGAGCACTTGTTAAAAATCGATTTTCACAACCGAATTTATTTGGAACTTGTTACTTGGAAGTTTTTAACGTTTCTATTGCCGTTTCGAAAGTTGGATTTAAAAAATTCAAAATGTCGGATTAAAAATGGCGTTCAAAAATTTCAAAAATGGAGTGAATTTTTTCGCAGTTTTTTCCTCCGGGGTTTTTGAAATATTTGAACGCCATTTTTAATTCGCCATTTTGAATTTTTTAAATTCAACTTTCGAAACGTCAATAGAAACGTTGAAAACTTCCAAGTAACAAGTTCCAAATAAATTCAGTAATGAAAATCGATTTTTAACAAGTGCTCTCTATCCCAACTATTTTGACTATTTGAGATAGTTATTTCATGTTAAATAAATTTTCTGCGCAATTATCATGCACTTTTTAGTTTTGGGACTCAAAGTTGAAGGTTTAAGCTTTCATTCAAGCCCTCGTGAAGGTTTTTATCTTGTTGCGTTTTCGTTTTACAACGCTTCAAAAAGTGCTAAAAAAGCGATTTTTTGACACTTTAATCTCGTTTTCTACGGAACTGACCGAATGGAAAATTTTTTTTGGGTATATTCTTGTTTAGTGACACCTAAACTTTCAATAAACACAGAAAATTTTAAATAAACACGACTTGACCATTTTTTTTGTAACCCAGTGTTATTTAAACAAATATGAGAAATTAAAACTAATACCGTAATTTTCTATTACTGCGCGTTTGCATCAGTTTCGGTGTATCAATTACGGTGACCAAAATTACGTGTATTTTGATGATTCTTTGCCCGCTGTAATTGAAGCCAATGGAAATGTTAAAAATATTTCAATTACGTCGAGGGAAAAAATTTGATCTCAAATAATTAAATTAATAATTTTTTAAATGTGCATCTTTATTAGTAATTGTATCAAAAAAAGATTAAAATAATTTTTTAAAATCATTTTGCAACAGTTATATTAAATATAATAGTAATAATAGTTATTTTTTATGAACGCGCCGTAATTGGTACACTTATCCTATTTCTATAATATTTTTTTGCAATTTTTTTATTTTCATTTATGTTACAATACTGAAAAGCTGAAGTTTCTATTGTACTTTGAAAAAAAGTAAGAAGCGAAATAATTTTAGTTAGTGGTCCCACAGACCGCTAAAACAGTTTAAAGGTTTCGGTCGCAGAATTTTTATGTGTATATCTGATTGAATTAATAAATTAAATTATAATTTAGGAAAAAGGCGATTTTCGAAGATACAAAAGATATATTTTACAAATGGCACTATGTTTTCCTTCAAAATGTCAAACGGAGGATATTGTTGCAGCGTTAAAACAACCTTTGGATAAATTTGGTGCAGAATATGATCTTCAAGTCGAAGCATCAATTATACCTATGTATTGTGCCTCAAAAGAAGCTCAAAAATTTTCTATTTACGATATAATTTTCTAGTAAGAATAATTTCAAATTTTCTACTCCTTTGCTCAGAATTCTATTATAAATAATTTCCTAATTTACAGTTTGACATTTCTAATAATATTGAGTCTCGTCATAGTTAGCACTCTGATTGACTTTAATTATGATAAAAACAAAGAGTTTTCTTTATTACATTGTTTCTCTGCTCGTAAAAATTTGAACGAAATTTTAAGTATAAATTATGAACATCCAGGACTTGATTCTATTCACTTTATTCGAGTATTGCTTGCAGTTCTTATTGTTGCATTGCACAGACAATTGCTGTATATGTACGGATCAAATATTTCTGGAAAATATTTGGAATGGGTAAGTAATTAATAAAATTATTTTTTCCTATTGACAAATTAGATTTATAATTCCATAGGTTATGTCAAAACCTATTTTCGGGATACTGCACAATCTTCCCATCATAGTAGATGGATTCTTCGGTGTTGGAGGACTTTTATTGTCTTACTCTTTATTGGGAGACTTGAGTGTATCAAAAAATATTAATATTACGCTTCTAATTGTAAAACGATTAGTAAGGTATTGTATAAAATTAAAAATTAACTTTTTATAATAATTGTAAATAATTCGAGTTGTGAACGGCTTCTGGAGTTGTGAGTTAAAAAAAATAATTTACAATATTCATGATAAAATATTAGCATATATTTAAAGTGGGGGGTATAAAACAACTACTAAAAATTTTAAATTCTTAAAACTATACAAAAGAATTTTTGATTATATCTGGAAATTTTTATTTTAGTTTAGTCTAACTTTACGCTTATTATTAAAAATTAATAAATTTTTTTCAGAATATTGCCATCATATATGTTTGTTACATTCGCATATGCAACTGTATTTCATCGATTAGGTTCTGGACCATTCTGGGAGTCAACTATGGGAGTCTTTAGAGATTCTTGTTCTTCTTATTGGTGGACTAATTTGTTTTTTATCAATAATTATTTTGGAGGCAATAATAAGGTATAGTAAAAAAAATTAATTAGAATTTTTTGTAACCTTTCTATTTTATTTATTTTTATTATTAATTCTTTAACGTCCGAGTAGAATATATTTGAATTGGTTTCATAATAAATAAAAACGATAACAATCGGATAAATGGATTTTAATAATATTTTGTCCAACTTTTCGAAATTACACTGATTTCCTCTTCAGTGAGTCTACCCACTTGGAAAGATTCCCCGGAAAGTGCCCCCTGGAGGTTCTATCAGAATTCCGCCGGAACTTCCAACGTAATTCCATCGGAGTTCTAAAGAATTTCCGATGGAATTCCGACGGAATTACGTTGGAAGTTCTGGCGGAATTCTGATAGAACCTCCAGGGGGCACTTTCCGGGGAATCTTTCCAAGTGGGTAACAATACAAAAAAAATTATAAAATTAAATCAAAAACAAAAATACAAAGAAATCAAATTAAATTAATAAGAGATGAATTAATAACAAAAACAAAAATACAAAAAATAGTTAGCTAATTAAATAAAATAAATAAACTATACATATATACAAAATAAATAAAAAAAAAAAAAGATGAATAAAAATAAAAAATACAAAAAATAAAAAACAATAGGGTCAGTTGGGGTAAATGGGGACAAAATCACTATTTTTCACAAATTACGTTAGTTTCTTCCTTTAAAAGGTAATATTTGCAGGTTTATTTTTTTTAAAGTTATTATTTACGTTCCCAGGATTAATTTTATGCAGCAGAAAAAAATTTAAATAAGCTTTAAACGCATGAAACTAACTGTCCCCATTTACGCCAAAATTTAGAAAATTTCATAAAATTTGGGGTAAATGGGGACAGTATAGTTTTTAAGAAACTTTTGAGAAAAAAGTTTCCTCAAGTATATTACTGTATTCAGGGATGAAAAAACTTGAAAAAAAATTTGTAGTAGATATATAATAGTTGAACTTATGACTCCTATAAAATAAATATAAATACAATTTACCAAATAAAACAGTGAAACTAAAATTAGCAGTCAGTCATTCTCACGATCGTCAATGAAATAATATAAAATAAAATAATTTTTATTGTTTTTTAATTTAATTTTATAATTTTTTGGTATTATTAGACTCTCTGAAGAGGAAATCAGTGTGATTTCGAAACGTTGAAGAAAATATTATTAAAATCCATTTGTCCGAATTTTATCGTATTTATTATGAAACCAATTCAAATTATTTATTTTTGTTTAGTGCGTGATGCAGTGTTGGTATTTAGCTGTGGATTTCCATTGTTATTTAATTGGATTATTGTTAATTATTGCATTTCACAAAATGTCTCGTAAAATTGGTTTTATATTTTTGGGTTGTATGCTATTTTTAACAACTTGTATTCCTTTTTACGTCACATATAAAAATAATGCAGATCCAATATTTACCTCCATTACTAAGTACGATTTAATTATTTTATAATATTATACAAAAGAATTATATATTTCAAATTATTATTTTGTAATTTGTAAATCTACTTTTTTAGTCCAAGAAGATTAGAGGACAGTGAATATTTTTTAAATTATTATAGTAAAACTCATATGCGTATGGCATCTTATATTATCGGATTAATTGTAGGGGTTTTTATTTTTGATCATAAAAACTCTAATTGGCGTCTCTCAAAGGTAAAATAATATTATTTTTATTATGCATCCTTGCCAATAATTAAAGCAAATTTTTATCATAGTGTTAGATTAACTGTACACTTTTTTTGCTTGATTTTTTAGACCTGGTCACAAATTTTGTTTATTATTTTCGTCTTTATATTGAGTTCAACTGCCGCATGGACTGGAACACTTTTTGTAAATCCAAATTTGAAAACTACTGCTTTTCAAAAAGCCCTGTATGCAAGTCTGCATAGAACAATTTTCGCATTCAGTGTTAGTTCAATTCCTCTTCTCCTGACAATAGGCGATGGCTTAGGTTAAAAGAAAATTTTGATAATTAATAATTTTTACTATACACTAAAGATAAAATTAATAAATAACTATTTGTACATTTTTGTTTTAGGTTTCTATAACAATATACTAACTGCAAGATGGCTACAACCGCTTTCACGTGTTTCTTATGGAATTTTTCTTGTTCATACAATAGTACTTCAGTTTGATGGAACATCAAGAACTCCATCAACCTTTTCAATGTACAATGCGGTAAGTTCTTAATAATATTGATTTTAAATTATGTAGCAAAATTTATCATTTTAATTTTCAAAATATTTCCATTTACAGATTAAATTTTTTATAGTAGATATAATATATTCTATAGGCCTGGCATTATTCTTAGCCATTGTAATAGAATTTCCAGTCAGAAATATTTTTAATGCAATGATAAAAAGAAAGACAATTGTTACGAAAATAAAACCGTAAGAAATATATTACACATTAATTTTATTCCAATAAACATTGTATTATTTAAATTATTTTTAGAATGTAAATAAAGTTATGTTAATAAATTATTCTCTTTTCAGATCAAGAATTATACAAAAGAAGACAAAATAATCTTTGCAAATAATTGAAAATCATTTAATTATAAATTATATGAATACATTAAATAAGTAGTAGGTTACAATGGATCAAGAGATCATCCATAAAGTATACGATACATATAAAAAAAAAAAAATGTAACAGAATTGTCATTTTACCGACTTTTTTGGAGCGAATTTCAAAATTGGCCAATTAAAAATTATCATTAAAATTGCGATTGCGGTCAATTTTGAAATTCGCGCTGAAAAAATCTTTTAGAACAAAATCTGATTGCGCACATATTTAAATATTAAAAATAAACATTAATTAATAAATAAATTGTTTAAAAAATTGATATTTTTTAATTTTTAAATTATTTTACTAAACTTCAATGTTTTTGACGTAAAAAAGATTCTTAAAATATTTTAAAAATTTTGAAAAATGAAGGAATTATAATCAAGTGAAAAAAATGTCATGAAATTTGCAATGCAAATATCTTGAAAAATAATAACAATATCTAATTTATATTTGGTACAGTCATTTAAGATCTAAAATACTACTTATAAACAAACAATAAGAAAAATCTGAGAAATGACCCTTAACTCTCTCACGAAATTACCCAGCTTTCTCAGATCGCTGTAAAACAACTAGTTCAATATTAAATACTATAAAATCAACTTGAAACTAAAAGCCTTCGCAAGATTTTCAAAGTATTCGTATATTTTTTAATTTAAAATTTGTAGATGAAACATATTCATTTTTGGATAAGCAAAAAGATGGATATATTTTGGAAGCGTTATTCTACCTTGATCTGCATACAATGTATGTTTTAGAAATTATAATTTTTAATTTTAGAAATAAGTCTCGAATTATGTATTTAAACTTTGATCTCCATGCAATGTAAATTTAAGAAGTGAATTTTCCAAAACAATAATCACATACGACAAAAAATTTCAATATTTTTAATTTGAGCAAATAATGCAAATAATCATAAAACAAATAATTGCTTTTTGACAATGAACATATAAAGACGTTTTTATATTATATACGTATACGTGAAAAAAATAAGAAACTAATTTACTCCAAAAAAAGTGTATTAAACAGAAGAGACATTAAATATCAAGAAAAAATACTTTATTTCTTTATATGTAATTTAAAAATTAAATAAAAAGAAAAAAAAATTATTTAAAAATGGAACCAAAACTATCGGGAGATGAAATAGTAATATCTGGTATAGCTGGAAAATTTCCAAATAGTGAAAATATTAGAGAATTGCAGAAGAATCTTTTAAATAAAACAGACTGCATTGGTGACAGCAATGTTCGTTGGGACAACGGTATGAGTGTTATATTTAAAGTACATAAATTAAGTTAAATGCGTTAGTATTTTATTCGTTGTAAGTTTTAAATACTTGTTTCAAAAAAAGAGGCAGAAAATTTTTTTTCTATGTAAAGATAAGGACGTTTTTAAGAAATAAACAGCAAAGTTAACGAGTACTTCAAGAATTTTATTATTATTAATAATTGATAATCTTGCAGAACATCCTCAAATTCCATCACGAATCGGTACAATAAAAAATATTGACACTTTTGATCGTGTATTTTTTGGAGTTCATGGAAAAATGGTAGATTATATGGATCCTTTAATAAGAATAACAATAGAAACGGCTTACGAAGCAATTACAGATGCTGGAATTAATCCAAAAAATTTGAAAGGATCTAAATCGGCAGTTTTTACTGGAATCAGTTCTTCAGAGTCAGAAAAATCAATATTTTATGAAAAATTTGTGGTATGACGATTTTTATTTGTTAATGTGAAGAAAATTGTTAATTTAAATTAGAAAAACTATAAACTGATTTCTGGTTCAGACAAATTTATGTCATTGTGTAGCTGTGTAATTATAGAAGTTATTAAAAAAAACAAAAAATTAGTTTCCGTATTCAATAAACTGACAACAGCTTGAAATCGTCTTAATCTTTATTGTTTTTCAGCAAAATGGATACGGATTACTAGGAATCAATCGGGCTATGTTACCAAATCGAATTTCATTTTTCTTCGGTCTTACTGGGCCAAGTGTCAATATTGATTCTAGCTGCTGTGGAGGTGCCAATGCATTACACGAAGGATTTATGGCAATTAGAGATGGACGAGCTGAAAATGCTATTATTGGTGCCAGTAATGTGGTTTTACATCCACAAAAGTCTCTACAATTATTTTTGTTAGGTAGAAGTAGTTCAAGAACTTTAGTGTTATAGAAAGGATAAAAACAACATAATATTCAAAATTTCAACATCATTTTTAGGACATTTATCACCCGATGGGAAAACAAAATCATTTGACGATGCAGCTAATGGTTATACTCGCAGCGAAGGAAGTGTAGTCCTATTTCTTCAAAAGGCTCGCGATGCAAAACGGATTTATGCAGAAGTGAAAAATGCCAACATTTGTTTTGGAATTAACAATAATGACAATTTGCTTTTCTATCCAAGCCATGATTCTCAAGCAAATATAATGAGAAATACTTTGAAAGAATGTGGTCTTTCTGGTAAAGATATTTCATTTATAGAAGCCGATGGTTCAGGAATTAAAGTTGTTGATTCTGAAGAGGTAAAAGCCATTGATGAAGTTTACAATGAAGGAAGAAAATTACCTCTTTATATTGGTTCTGTCAAATCTAACCTCGGATCTTGTGAAGCAACAAATCCACTTATAGGAATTATTAAGGTTTTTGTATTTTAAATTTATTGCACAACAATATATTGGTTTTGTTTTGTTATTTACATTTCACTATACGAACTTCTGTATAGATTATCACCGCAATGGAGTTTGGATACATTCCACCAAATCTTCATTTTAAAAAAATATCTGACAAAATTCCTGCTCTTAAAGAAGGTCGGTGTAAAGTTGTAACGGAATTAACTCCTTGGACCGGAGACTATGCAGTTGTTAATAGTCTAGCCATAACTGGTGCTAGTGCTAATATTATATTAAAAGATTTCAAAAAGTATAAGAAAAATTCAGGAAAACCTGACGACTGTTTTCCAAGATTAGTCATATGTTCTGGTTGCACAGAAGAAGCTGTTAATTTCATTCTATGTGATGTTAGTTAGTATTATTAATCATATCATAGTAGAAAACTATATAATTTTATAATATAAAGATTTATTAAGGAGTTTTTATTAAACCTATCCTGATATGATTTTTTAAGATACTAAAAAAATATGTTTTGCAGCTAGAAAGAAGATCAGTCGATGTGGAAATGCTTCAGCTTATGTACGATATATTTGAAACTGAAATTCCAGCTCACATGTATAGAGGATATACACTACTTTCTCCTAATGAATCAACAAAATGCAAAGCAAGAGAAATTCAATATATTTCTAGTTTTAAGAAAGAAATTTGGTACATGTTTTCCGGTATGGGTTCCCAATGGACCGAAATGGGTAGGGTTTGTTAAACTCTTTCAAAACTAAATGTATCAATAAATAATTAATACAATGATGTTTAATTTAAAAAATAGGAAAAGCTTTATTACAAATACCTGTTTTTGAGGAAGGCATAAAGAAATGCGATAAAGTCCTTAAAACCCGGGGCATAGACATTTTCCGCATCATTACAGAAAATGATCCAAAAATTTTTGATAACATCATCAATGCTTTTGTTGGAATTGCTGCTATCCAGGTATCTGAAGTTTTAAACAATCAATATAAAATAACACAAGGTTTGAAATTATATATAAAACCTATAATAAATAAACCTTAACATATAAGCTTAATAAAAATTTATGAAGAATATTTATTATTTTTTTTAGATTGGATTAGTAGACTTATTAAACTCTATTGGATTAAAGCCAGATTTTGTAATTGGCCATTCAATCGGAGAATTAGGTTGTGCTTATGCTGATGAATGTCTCACAGCAGAGCAAATGATTCTTTGTGCCTTAGCTAGGGGTTTAGCTTCTATAGAAACAGATATGATAAAAGGATCAATGGCTGCAGTTGGTCTTGGATATAAAAAAATCAAAAATCTATGTCCACCTGATATTGAAGTAGCTTGTCACAATAGTGAAGATAATTGTACTATCAGTGGTCCTGCAGATTCTTTAAAAAACTTTACCGAACAATTGACGGTAGAAATGCATTATAGCCCTAATTTAATTCAAATTTTCTAATCCAACAAAGTTTTTCCTATTTGTAATAAACAATTTCTTCTTTCCAGGCAAACAATATTTTTGTCAAAGAAGTGAAGTGCGGTAACATTGCCTACCACAGTCGATACATAGCAATGGCTGGTAAAAAATTAAGAAAATACCTTCAAGAAATAATACCTCATCCAAAACTTCGAAGTAACAAATGGATAAGTAGTTCAGTTCCTCAAGATAAATGGAATTCTGCGTTAGGTCGACTATCATCTGCGGAATATCACACAAATAATTTTCTAAATCATGTTCTGTTTGCCGAAAGTGCAAAACTTATTCCTCCACATGCAGTTGTTATCGAAATAGCCCCCCATGGTCTTCTACAGGCAATTGTAAAAAAATCATTGCCTGAAAATGTTCTTAACGTTCCCTTAACCAAAAGATATCATCCAGATAATGTCTCATTTCTTTTTGAAGCTTTAGGTAAAGTATACAATGCTGGTTGCAATTTTAAAGTGTCCAATCTTTATCCTAAAATCAGCTATCCAGTATCACGTGGAACGCCCTCAATTTCGTCTTTAATTAAATGGGATCATTCAACTAAGTGGTAAAATAGCATTCTTTCAGTTTCAGAATAAGAATTAAATTAATTAGTACTAATAAGAATAATTTTTTAAATGAAGTATAAAATAGTTGTTTAACTTTAGGAACACTAATTCACTCAAGGAAATTACTAAAATTAAGAAAGGAGAGATGAACTTCGTAATAAATCTAAAGAATGATGAGTGGAAATATTTGAAACATGCCAGGATCAATGGCAAAATTGTTATTCCTAATTCTATGTATTTAACACTCGCCTGGGATGTTTTAAAGTCGTTACAAAATAATTCTGAATTCTCAATACTTTACCAAAATGTAACAATTCACAAACAACAAGTGGAGATACCAGACGACGAAAATATCGTATTAGTAACAATGGTTCAAAAAGGTAGATAGATGATTAAGATAAAATCTATTTTTCAGTATAATTGATATAAAATGTTCAAATTATTCATTTTTTTTCATGATAAAATTTTTTATTGCTTTTCTAGGCAGTGGTTTCTTTCAAGTTACCAATAACGAAATTCTACTATGTTCCGGAATATTGCAAGTGACTGATGCTCCTAATCAACACTGTATTCAAATTGATGAAAAAGACGATCAAATTTATCAGTATTTGAGTGAAAGTGACGTTTACAGTGAATTACAGAATCGAGGTTTACAATATTCAGGACCTTTTAGAACAATTCGTAAATCATCAACTAATGGGTCTAAGGGAACTTTAGTATGGAATGATAATTGGACATCATTTTTAGATGGAATAATTCAGATGTATGACTTTGGAAATAATGTCAAAAAAATTCAAGTGCCATTTAAAATTAGAAAAATTATTATTAACTTGAAAGTGCATAAGGAAATTGTTAATAACTCAGATGGTAACTATTTCATTTCGCATAAAATGAATTAATTTTAAGAAAATATAAATAATTAATAAAAACACTATTTTCAGAAATACCTGTATCAGTTTATAAGAAATTACAAACTATTAGTGCAAGTGGTGTACAAATGGAAGGAATCAATTTTAAATCTATACTGAATGAGTCTGGGAAAAATAAAGTTGTTGTTAAAAAAATTGAAATTCTTCCGGGAACAGATGGGGCTTTATCTACTTTATCAGAGATCTTAAATATGACTCTTCAATTTTTAGAAGAAAATACAAAAAAATCAAATTTGATTTCTATCGTTGATGACGGCTCTATTGATGTGAAAGAAATAAGAGAAATCATGCACACCGTTATTAATGATACTATAGAAAGTAGGTTTAAAATCGATATGGTACCTTCTTCCTGGTTGTTCAACAATAAACCAAAATCTAGTCTTATTGCACTTTTGGTACTTTGCAATATAATGCAATACACTCAACAGGATCTCACGAAAATGATAGCAAGTGGAACCTTCTTTTTAACATTTGCAGAACCCCAAAACGAAAGTTTAGTTTTGAAAATGTTCGATTTTGCAGGATTAGGACTTGTTCTTAAAAAATATCTTCCCAACGGTCGAGTTGCTTTGCTCTTTCGTCAGAAACACTTCTTCAATAAATCTTCTGTTTTGAATATCAATGATGATAAAGATTGGTCCAATAAAATAAGAACAATAATTACATCTGCAGATTGTGATCGTCTCATAATTGTATTTAGATCTAACGAGTATTCCAATCTTTGTCAAAAACTTGCAATACTTCAGGAAGAGCTACATGGAAATAAAATTCAAATAGTAGACATACAAGATCCACAAGTTTTAGAATTCTCTTTACAAGATCCATTATACAATTCACACATGGATCTAAATTTAAAAATGAATATTCTTTTGCCAGGTAAAATTTGGGGAACATACAAATATTTTCCAATTGTCTCCAATCTTCAAAACGTATCAAATTGGACAGCAGAATATCAGAATTCTTCCGCATTAGATTCTATTTCTTGGGTCGAGGGATTTCCTACAAAAAGTACAAAGACAGTCAAAGTCGAGTATTCCGCAATAAATCAAGCAGATTTTCTATTACAAACTGATAAACCAACATTAGAAGACATTACGAAAAATAGAATTGATATAAAATCAGTTGAACAAGAATATTCTGGAATTAATTCCAAAGGAACTAGAGTTATGGGAATTGCTACAAATAATATACTTTCAAATTACATAATACCCGATAGTGATTTCACTTGGAACATACCTGATAAATGGTCATTAGAAGATGCTGCTACTGTACCTGTAGCCTATATAGTGGCATATTTGTCTCTAGTCTTAAAGGGAAATCTACTAAACAATGAATCTATTTTTCTATACAATGCTAGTTGTTCTATTGGTCAAGCTATTGTTAATTTAGCATTAAATATTACATCTCAAGTTTTCCTTGGACACACTAGCAATAGAGATAAAAACTTCCTGAAAAATAATTATCCAAATATTCCTGAAAACAATTTTATTCAAATAACAAAAGGTTTTAGTCAACAATTCTGGTCACAAACTAAAGGAAAGGGAGTTAATTTAGTGATTTATAATAATGATGATTTAAGTAATTTAGAAAGTTGCGTAAAGAATGTTAAAAAATTTGGAAGAATTATTGTCATTGGAAATTTGCATGAAGCATTTGGTATGTCAGTAGGCATGGAAGTCTTTGATGAGAATGTTATTATGTCCTCAATCATTCCCAAGAAATTAAGAAATCTGAATCTAGACACAAAAAGAAAATTGTCACAAATGATTGAAAATGGAATATCAAGGCAAATTGTAAAACCAATACCCAAACGTGTCTATCCAAGACAAATGTTAAAACACGGTTTTATTAACGAAGCTTCAAAAGATTTCTTTGAAAAGGTAAAATTATATAGTAGAACCTCGATAATATTTTCGCGACACATTCATAAAAAGTAATTCAACTGTTTCACTTTCAAAAAATACTGGTTTCAATTTTAAAAATTGTTGCGATTTTTATTATCTGTACTTTCGATAATTCGAACTATGTCCGGTCCCAATGGATTCTAATAATCGACGTTCTACTGTAATTATTCGTTTCTTCACTTTGACTTTTCCATTTTTTTATTTAAAAAAAAACAGAATTTTTTAACATTTTCTTTTATAGCTATGCTTATATCTTTGTAGATCATTGTCAAAGTGCAGCCGGATAACGGTAGCAATACAGCTCTGGCAGTTCCTCGTTTCTTATGTAGAAGTGAAGGATCTTGTTTGATAATTGAAGGATTGAATGCCTTTGGATTTGAACTAGTTGATTTTTTAGTTGTTAGAGGTGCCAAAAATATTATTATAACTTCTGAATCAAAAAATACAGGAGCTTACAGTAAACATAAAATAAATTTGTGGAAAAAGAATGGAGTTTCAGTTGTAGTAAAAGAAGAATTGGAATTTACTCATCAACAGAATGTAAATACTCTTCTTGAGGAAGTCAATGCTCTTGGTACAATAGATGCCATTTTCGATCTTCAAGGAACTAATAATTTATCAACAAGGTCTTCTAGTTCGAGATATTTGTTTACCAAACATCTTTTTGAGGAATCTAAGAAAAAAAGCCCTGATCTACTACATTTCGTTGTTTTTTCAACCTGTAAATATATCAGGGGAAATTTCAACAACTTTTTGTTAAGAGAAATAGAATTGACGAAAGTTTTTCAAGAAAAAACAAAAGTACCTACCCCGGGACTTTTGATCCTTTTAGGTCCAGTTTATGAAATTGCGGAATACACAACAGAAAATGAGAGAAATGAAACTTTGTTGTCTGCTTCTAGTATTATGGAACAATTGGATAATTTAATTGCTTCGAAAGCGAGCATTGTATCCATTTTTCATAAATCATTGGAAGCAGATTATAAAAAGGTAAAACATCATTAAACAAAGTAACTATATAATATTATAATTTTTGATTCAAATTTTTAGATTGAGAAAGAAAACATTACCACTGAAGTATCGGCAAGGTCGGAATTCGATAATTATATTACAGCAACTCAACCCATATCAACGACCTGGAGACTTCAGATTTCAGAAAAAATTCAGAATTAATCCTACTTAACGTAATTATTAGAAAAAATAAAAAGACGTTTTTTGAGTATCATCGACTGGCACGATTAAACCCCAAATTTCATTTCACATAAATATCATTTGACATAAAAATTACTTCGTCTGTCCTTTTCCCAAACACGAAAGCTTATATGTAAGACAAGGATAAACAATGCTCTTTTTATTTTTATGAAAAATGAAATATATATTAAATTTTACCAATCAAAAAGTGCGCCATACATTTTTTGCTCAGAACCTTCTTCTAATCACTATAGCGGTATTCCCGAACGATTATGTAGCGTATTTAATTTTTTGAAAATTTTTCCAAATTTGTTTTCTAGTGTAGCTCAGCATCCGCTGGACCAATCAAAAAGTGCGCCATACATTTTTTGTTCGCTACTTTTTGCTAAACACTTTGGCGGTATTCCCGAACGATTATCTCGAAAATTTAATTTTTCGAAAATTTTTCATAAATTTATTTGAGTGTAGCTCAGCATCCGCTGGACCAATCTAAAAGTGCACCATACATTTTTTGTTCGAAACTTTTTCCCTATTTTATTGGCGGTATTCCGGAACGATTATCTCGCAAATTTAATTTTTCTACATTTTTTCCATATTTGTTTTCTAGTGTAGCTCAGCATCCGCTGGACCAATCAAAAAGTGCGCCATACATTTTTTGTTTATTTATAATTTATCTAAATTAAAAATAGAATAAAAATACTGTTAAAATTCATAAAGACGTAAGATACAAATTTTCATAAAGTTAAAAATGTTTTTGTATATAGTGAGAGTGTAAAGAAAAATTGTGGATTATATTTGGTGCAAAACAAACAGGTAACACTTTAACCTATCACTCACGTAGTTAAAATTTTCAAGGTGATTATTTTGTTTTGCATAACTCCTCTTTTCAGATTAAAATTTAATATTTTATTATCATTAATATTATTATATTTTATTTTGATACACTCATATTTTTTGGGCGTTTACAAAGATAGAGTTTTAACATCTATAACTTCGTAATATTTTATAAATATTCTCCAAGTTGTTCATAATAATTTTAAATTTATATAAAAATTTTTTAAAAAATAATTAATTTAATTTAATATTTATAAAATATCCAAACTTTATGACGAATATTAATTGTTTAATTACAAGAACTATTTTTAAAATTCAAATATATTATTTTCTGACATCTGAACAATTAATGATTTTTAATAAATTAATTAGAATGTACATAAATGTATTACTGCAATTTAATTATATTGGCCAAAATTGCAAGATATTAAAAAATGCGATAAATTAAACCCTACCAAGAATGATTTAAAATTTTATTTTGACACCAGCAGTTTTTCGATTATTTGAATGTAAAATATAGTAATAAAAAAAAAAGATAAAGAATAATGATAAAAATAATTCTTATCATTATTTCAAAACTATTAACTACAATTTTTATTAGGAAAGTGATTATTAATTATTTTGAATTACTTAATCATACTTAAATGTCAACTATACTCATAAAAACGAAATTAACAGGTACATGTTATATAATTCAAATCGCATGACTAAACCCCAAATTTCATTTAACATAAAATTCATTCGATATAAATCTCATATTTAACATAAAACTTATTTGTTATAAAATTCATTTGTCATAAAAGTTGCTCCGTCTGTCCTTTTCCCACACACACACAGAAGCTTATATGTAAGACAAGCATAGACAATGCTATTTTTATGACAAATGAGTTTTATTTCAAATGCGAATTATATCAAATGAATTTTATGTCAAATGAGAATTATGTCGAATGAAATTTATGTCATTTAAGATTTATATCAAATTAATTTTACTTCAAATGATTTTATTTCAAATAAATCGCAAAATTTTCGCAAATTTTTTGTACACTTTGTTTTTAAATATTGAAATATTCCAATTTTCTAACTATACACATGAAAATACTAAAGATTGTCACATTTTACCATTTTTGAATAAAGAATTGCAAAAGTTAAAGAAAAAAAAATCGTTTCTTATGAAAAATTTTATTTTTAGAAAAAAATGTATAAAACTCGATTATTTTATTTTAATCGTAAAAATACATCTGAATATTGAATGTTATCTTTCTATTAGATCAAAAATTATAAAATTTTACTCACGTAGTTTATACACTTTTTTAAGAAAATTTAATTTGTTTCTTGTTACCTCTATACGACAAAATACTTCAAAAACCTCTGTTTAAAAATAAAAAATTAATTAATTTGTATTAAAGATACTTTCTACCATTTTTTTCAAATTAATTAATATTTAAAGAATTTTTCCAGATATATAAAATTCCCTGACTTTTCGAGGATTTCCAATTTTCCAGATAGCGTGGCAACCCTGATTTTGATAAAAATGAAGTAAACATTTTTTTGGCATTGAAAAGTACATGAAAAATTCTTGAAAAGAAACTTTATAAAGCCTATGATAACAAAAGAATTACTAATAAGCAATAAAGTTTATATGTAAAAAATGTGTATATAAATATTTACTATAGATTGAAGTAATAGATAAATATGTTAAAATAATGAACTATTTATATAAAAGAAACGTATGTCTGATAACAACTTATTCAATGTAGTCGCAGGTGTATTAAATCAATTCTACAATTTTTTTAGAATGAACTAGATCAACTGTTTGAGAATTTAGTATATTGAAATATAAAGTACGCAATAGAAGTTTCAAGAAGTTTATTATTATTAAATTCTGTTTTTTTGCATAAAAATACAAAAAAAAAAATTAATGAAATCAATTTTCTCATTCTTTAAATATTTGATTTTATAACTTAAAATTTGTCTTTTTTAATATACAAGTTGCATGGAATCAATGAGTGATTTAGAAGATGGATGCAAAAAAAACAATTGTACATCCAAATCCTAGGGAAAAAGCATCTTGTTTATCAGTTTTATTATGGTGGTATGTATCAAAGTAATTTAATTAATGACTAGTTTATATTATTCAACAAAAACTATTTTTAGGTGGACGGTACGTATTTTCAAGACGGGATATACAAAAGTATTGGGAACCGAAGATTTATACGATCCATTAAAAACAGACAAATCATCCGTTCTTGGGGACAGACTAGAAACGTTAGTGTCTGTTATTTAAAATTTTATAAATATTTGAAAGCATTTTTTTAATATTAAATGCATCTTTTTTTCAGGCAATGGAAAATAGAAGTAGAAAATGCGAAAAAACATAAGAAGAAAGTAAGTTTATTGAAAACAATTTTTCGAACTTTTTTATGGGAATATTCACTTCTTGGTTTACTTCAGATATTTAATGAATTTATCTTAAGGTTTGTCAAAATTATTTATATTATAATAATTAAATTGCAAATAGAAGAAATTAAAGTTTAAAAATTTTATTATAATATTAAATAAATATTGAGTGTTATTTCATATAATATTAAAATTTTTATTATAATTACAGATTGGCAACACCATTTTTTTTAGGTGGCTTTTTGAAATATTTTAAACCAAATACAGATGTTCCTTACCACATAGCATTTATTTTTGCTGGAGGAATTTGCCTTACGTCTATTCTAAAAGTGATTTCCATAAATCAATCCTTATATGGTGCTTTACATATTGGAGGCAGAGTACGAATTGCTGTTTGCTCACTTGTTTACAGAAAGGTAGATATATGTATGTGGTTGCTGCAAATTCTGACAAAATGGAAATTTAATACATCATTTCTGTAAGAGTTACAGATTTTTAAACAGATTTAACACCTATTTTCTGTAAATCAGATCAATAAGGGAATAAATTTACAAAAAAATATTGTAAATTCAACCAAAAATTCCCATAAAAATTATTTCGTAGAATTTGTATTTTCAAGAATTTTATTAGATATAATTATTTTTTAGACAAATTTTCTTTTTTTTTAAATTGGCATTTAATATTAATAGAATTTTTTTTAAAAAATATTTACATCAAAGAATTTTTAGGTACCGAATTTTTATTTCACAAAATTTCTCTTTACACAACTTTTTATTTAAAATAATTATAATTCAACAGAATTTTAATTTAACATAATTCTCATGCAACTGAATTTTAAGTGATTCGAATTTTCAAATGACGGAATTTCAAATTCACCGAATCTTTATTTAACTAAGCTGAAGTACTTCAGCTTCATTTATTTGTTCGAATTTTTGTTTATACGAATTGTCATTTGATAGATTTTTTAAAATACTGAATTTTCAGTGTTGTCCGAAATTGCAAATTACCGAATAAACAATCGACAGTAAGATTTTGGGTCGACTTTTAAAATTTACCAATCAAGATTTTCTTGATAATTTTTGATTAATCAATTTTAAAAATTGCGTCGAAATCAAATAAAAATTCGAACAATTAAAGATTTAGTAAATTGAAAATTTTGACATTTGAAAATTTGAATCACTTAAAATTCAGTTTAATAAGAATTATGCTTAATAAAAATTCTGTTAAATTAGAATTCTACTAAATAAAAACTTTACTAAAAAGAAATTCGATAAATAAAAAATAAATAAATGAAAATTTGATACATAAAAATTTTGTTAAATGAAAATTCTAAAAATAAAACTTGGTTTAAAAAATAATTATATCCAATAAAATTGTTGAAGGTGGGTCATTACATTTTATTTCACCTATAGTCGTTGCGGCCTATTTTTAGAAAAATTTGGTGTATTTTGTATTAATGACTTTTAATATCCTGACAATTCAATTTTGACAATTATTTTATGAAATTTTTTTTTTATTTACGTTGAAATTTAGTTTTTAAATTGAGTTGCCCGGAAAATAGGTTAGTTTGAAAACTTTGGAAATTTTATAAAAAAAAAACGAAAATAATTTAGTTAGTAAATTTTTTTTCGTTGATATTTGTTGAAAATATTCTAATTTACCAATGTTAATTGATAATTGTGTAAAAAAGGCCAAAATACTACGTGAAAATTAATATTCAAACTTACCTGTAAAATGTCAAAATTTGTCACATTTTATTTTTATTTTCCCAGAAACGTTATAAATATTATAAAATTTATTACTACCTAACAATAAGTACTTTCCATGTACTGTCACATGATATGTTGGCTTTTTATTTTTATAATATAGAAATATGAGAAATTTTACCTTGAATGTTGAACTTTTCAGGATTTTATCTGGTTTTGAACAATTATATCTTCGCAAGCGATTAATGAAAAAATCCCATTTTGGTTTTAAAATTTAAGTTAAATCTTCTTTATTCATCTTATCAAAATTTGGTGATGGAGAACGAGCTACTTTTTATTTTTATTCACTTTAAAGAATCAAAGTGTTTAAACGTCCATCAAAAAACGTCTAAACGTCCGTCTATATCCACCCGACTTTGACCGCAGAATACTTACGGGCATTTCCGACCCCCCCCTCCCTTCCTCCAAGGTTTCCTTAAAATATACGTAGACGGACAAAATTATCAAAAAATTCACCGTAAAATACGAATTTGAAGGTTAAAAAACAAGTATTTGTATAAATAAAATTCATACAAATAAATCTATATTCAAGGTAAAATTTCTCATATTTCTATATTATAAAAATAAAAAGCCAACATATCATGTGAAAGTACATGGGAAGTACTTATTGTTAGGTAGTAATAAATTTTATAATATTTATAAACTTTCTTGAAAAATATAAATAAAATATGACAAATTTTGACATTTTACAGGTAAGTTTGAATATTAATTTTCACGTAGTATTTTGGCCTTTTTCACACAATTATCAATTAACATTGATAAATTAGATTATTTTCAACAAATATCAATGAAAAAAAATTTACTAACTGAATTATTTTTGTTCTTTTATACAAAATTTCCAAAGCTGTCAAACTAACCTATTTCCCGTTCAACTCAACTTAAAAACTAAATTTCAATGTAAATAAAAAAAAATTTCATAAAATAATTGTCAAAAATGAATTGTCAGGATATTAAAAGTCATTAATACAAAATACCAAATTTTTCTAAAAATAGGCCGCAACGACTATAGGTGAAATAAAATGGAATGACCCAGATAAAAATTCTAACTAATGATTTTTATGAGACAATCATGTCGTTTCTTTGTAACATTTTACAAAAATGATACTACACAATAATTCAAATAATAAATAAACTTAATTGGATTAATTATTTTGCAGGCTTTGAAACTTAGTAAGACTGCACTGGGAGAAACGGCTCCAGGGAAAATAGTGAATTTAGTCGCAAATGATGTTAACAGATTTGATCTCGTTTCGATTTTGATCCATTATATGTGGTCAGCACCTCTCACGGCTTTGATTATTGCATATTTTTTATATAATCAAGCTGGATATGCTGGGGTTATTGGAATTGCTGTTATTTTTATCGTTGTACCAATACAATGTAATTTTTACAAAAGCAGAATTTTCTTGGAATAAGTTCTACTACTTTTCTTTAGTTTTTAAATTCAAACTTGAAAATTGATCAATCCATTATAATATTTCACCTAAAGTCGTTGCTGTCTATTTTTAGAAAAATCTTATAAATCATTATCATTTTTTAAAACTATATAACAATCCACTTTTTGATGATTATCAAATAAAATTTTGTTTATTTACATTGGAATTTAAAAAAAAGACGACGGCAAAAAACTGAGTATAATTTGACTTGAACTTTAAAATAATTTTTTGTCTTAATTTTCCATATTTATTTTAGCATACACTGGCAAGCTGTCATCAATTTATAGACTCCAAACTGCAATAAAAACAGACGAGAGAGTACGACTTATGGACGAAATAATCTCAGGGGTTCAAGTGATAAAAATGTACGCTTGGGAAAAGCCATTTTGCGCTTTAGTGGAAATTGCTCGTAAACTTGAACTGAAGATAGTGACAAAAAGTTCCTACATTCGAGGAATTTACATGACTTTCAATATTTTCACAACAAGAATTGCTTTATTTTCAACTTTACTAACAATGCTTTTATACAAAGAACAATTAACAGCAGACAAAGTTTTTGTTATTTCGTCATATTTTGCTATTCTTTCACACACAATGTCTGGTATGTTTGTACGAGGTTTCGCGGAAATTGCAGAATGCCTGGTGGCTATTCGAAGATTACAACATTTTTTAATGTACGAAGAATTCGAAGAAATGAATCCCCATCAGTCTTATCATGCGAGAACAATTAAAAAGACAGATAAAAGAAATTCAGTCAAATCTAATTTTCATTTTATTAATGAAGGTTTTGTTGACGACTTGAGAATCAGGCAAAATGGGTTGTTGATTAATAATGATCATTTTAATAACAATTCTAATTGCGTTAAAGGTAATAGTTTAAAAAGAAAGTTTTTAATTATTTTTAATTGACATAAATATTTGTTTGTTTATTGAAAAATAGACGTGTTGGACGAAGCCCCAGAGACATGGGCAGTCAAGCTGGATAATGTGACTGCGAAATGGGAGTCAGATCAAGCGGAGAACACTTTGGAAAAAATTAATCTGGAAATCGAAACCGGAAAATTGTACATGGTAATTGGAATGGTTGGAGCTGGAAAGAGTTCCTTGCTGTCTGCAATTTTAAAAGAAATCGCACTTACAGAGGGAAGTATTAGAGTCAAGGGCGGTTTGAGTTATGCAGGTCAGGAATCCTGGGTTTTCGGATCATCCGTCAGACAGAATATTCTCTTCGGCCAAGCCTACGACAGACAAAGGTACCAGAGAGTCGTCAAAGCGTGCGCCCTTCTCAGAGACTTCAAACAGTTTCCCCAAGGAGACCAGACCATTGTTGGCGACAGGGGAAGTTCCTTGTCGGGAGGGCAGAAGGCCAGAATCAACTTGGCGAGGGCTGTCTACAGGCAGGCCGACATTTACCTCTTCGACGATCCTCTCAGTGCGGTAATTTTAATTCATTTACCATTTCTGCCACTTTTTGAAAATAATAGTTACGTTCAAATATATTTTCAAGTTTAGAATTAAAAACGCAAATTTCAAATAATATTGGAATGTTAATTAGGTGGACGCACACGTGGGGAAACATTTATTTGAAGAGTGTATAAAACACTATTTATCCGGTAAGACTCGAATTTTGGCAACGCATCAACTTCAATATATCAAAGGAGTTGACGCGATTATTCTTCTGGATCAAGGAAAGATGAAATTTTACAAGAATTATCAGCAGCTTCTTCAAAGTCATCCAGAATACATGCCTCTCATAGCTGCTGAAAATTCTAACAATAATGAAGAATCATTCATGGAAATAAGTACAATGCAAAGAAAATTTTCAACTATAAGTAATAAAGTATGTTTTTATTGCATAGGAGAATTAAATTTTTTCATTTTCACTTATTTCATTTACAGTAGACAAATGTTAACAATTTCATCAGTTTTTTTTTTAATTATCTACTATGATGTATTTCCACGCCAAATTCTGACTAGGCTTAAAATTTTCGTAAAAGGAAATAGTTTTTTTTTAATTTAAAAAAAAACCGATCAGTGCGTCAATTGAAAAAAATTACTTTTCCATCTTTAAAACTTAAAAATTTGATAGTAATATCATTAGAAAAGAATTTTCGATTTTTTTTTTTAAAATAGGTTTAAAAACACATTTTGAAAAGAAAACTTTTAAAATTGATGCATTTTTAAGAAAGTTATAAGTATTCAAAAACAAAAAGTCATTAAAATCCTGAAATTTTGAAAAATCCATATCTCAAAAATGGCTTGCTAAAAAAATTTGGAAAAAAATCATGAAAACTGATATCAATTAGTATACAAAAAGAAAAAAAAGTTTCAAAAAAATCGTAGATGCAATTGCAAATGGATTTCGAATTCGGCGTGGAATATAATCTTTCGAGGACGAAATTTATGTCTTAAAAATTCATGATTTTTGATTTTTAAATAATTTTTTTGTCTAAAAACCAAAGTTTAGAATTGAAACTATACTAGATTAAATGAAAAATTTTGATTCAATATTGACTTTAAAAATTAAGAAACTTATGCTTAAGAAAAAAAAATTATATTTATACTACTTGAAAGCAACATTGATTCTCAAAGGAATAAAAATGCATTTTTTTTTCAAAGAGTAAAGTGTCAGAAGCTTGCGGTGATATGGAGATTGAAGAAAACGAGCAACATTCCGAAAATATAGACAAATTGGTGGAAGGAACTTCAAAAGGAACTGTAAAGGGTTCAATTTTCCTCAATTATTTTAGAGCTGGAGCTAATTTATTTTTTGGTTTCATCGTGTTTATTTTATTCATTGCAACTCAATTCGCTGCCAGTTTAAATGACCTTTATGTCCCTTTTCTGTAAGTCTGTAAAATCGAAAAACAATGCACATATTTATAAATATATAACTTAAATATGATAACAATTTATGTAATATGAAATTTAAATTCTTAGAATAACAGCAGAAGAAGCAAAATTATATAAAGCTGTAAATATAACACGAAATCAAACGGATGAGGGACTTTTTAAAGTTCAACCATGGTCACAGGAAGTTTACCTTTATGTATATAGTGGAATAGTTATGTCGATATTTCTAATCGGAATTATTAGATCTTTCGCATTTTACGCTTTGTGTATGAGAGCAAGTCAACGTTTACACGACATGGTATTCAGTGCATTTATTAGAACGGGAATGCGATTTTTCGATACAAATCCAAGTGGTCGAATTCTTAACAGATTTTCAAAAGACTTGGTAGCCATAGATGAATTATTGCCAAAAGCTCTTTTGGATGCTGGACAAATAATCATGATGACAATGGGAACATTGATTGTCACTTGTATTATAAGTTATTACTATATCATTCCAATTGTCCTACTTGGCGCTGTATTTTATTGGATTCGAAAAGTTTTTCTCAAGACTAGTAAAAATGTCAAACGCCTTGAGGGAATGAGTAAGTATTATTTTTTTGTATTATAATAATTTTTATTGAATTTAATATTAGAAAATTTAATTGCACTGTTTTATTAATTTTTACTCTAGCGAATGTTTATAAAGAAATGAATTTTTATAAATAATTTGTTGATTTAAATTTTTATTAATTTTTCAACTAGCACGTTCACCAGTATTTACTCATCTCAACGCAACACTCAATGGACTGACGACAATCAGAGCCTTTGGAGCTCAAGAAATACTCAAACATGAATTTGACAAATTCCAAGATTTACATACCTCTTCGTGGTTTATGTTTATTGTGACAAGTTCTGCTTTTGGATATTCCTTGGATGTTTTTACTTTTATCTTTGTGACTGTGGTGACTTTTACTTCTCTTATTAGCAGTGATTGTAAGTATCAAAAAAATATCAACACTTTTCTTTAAATTTTAAAATTTTTCTTAATAATAATTTGTTAGAAGAAAGTTGAGACAAAACTTTTACATTTTTCTAAATCGCATAATTTCGAAAATTTACCAAACATATAATACAATTAAAAGAATTTTGATACATTGTAGGGAGGAAAAAATTCAAATATTTAAAATTAAATTTTAATATTGAAAACAGACAATTTTAAAGCATACTCTATTTTCAGCATCGACAGAAAATGGAGGAAAAGTGGGTTTGGCTATTACACAAGTGATGTCAATGATGGGAATGATTCAATGGGGAATGCGTCAAAGTGCAGAAGTGACAAATCAATTAATGTCGGTCGAAAGAGTTTTAGAATATGCTGAACTTCCTTCCGAACCTAATTTACGAGACAAAGGAGTTATGTCCAAAAAGAAGCGAAAACAAAGTATGATTGAGTCAATTGTTACGCCTCCGAAAGATTGGCCCACTTTGGGTTCCATTAGATTCCGAAATATGTACTTGAAATATTCCAATGAGGATCCTCCTGTTTTGCAGGACCTCAATATCGTCATTCACCCAACTGAAAAGGTGAATCACTAATTATTATACAATTCGTACTTATTTAATTGATATTAATTTTGTTTTCATTAACCAACAGTACATTTCAAACAGAAAATGTTATGTTTTAGCAAAATTTGTAATTAAAAAATTTTCTTTTAGGTGGGAGTGGTTGGGAGAACCGGTGCAGGAAAAACGTCGTTAATCGCGGCTCTCTTTCGTCTCGCCAAAATCGATGGAGTCATTGAAATCGACAATATAGACACGGGAACCGTATGTCTGGAAGATCTTCGACGTCAAATTTCTATTATTCCACAGGATCCTGTTCTATTTTCTGGTACAATCAGAAGAAATCTGGATCCCTTTAGCGAATTTCCCGACAGATTACTGTGGGAGGTTCTCGAAGAGGTGATTTCCTTATTTTTAAATTAACAGTTCTAAATAGAGGGTTAGACTTTGAAATTTTGAATTATAAATTAATTTTCCGGTATGAAATGTAAATAATTTTTGTAAATGCCGAACAGGTGGAACTGAAAGAAGCGATTGCAGCCGTCAATGGATTGGACAGTCGAGTGTCCGACAGAGGAAGTAATTTCAGTGTTGGACAGCGCCAGTTGATTTGCCTCGCAAGAGCAATTTTGAGGAACAATCGGATTCTAATGTTGGACGAAGCCACAGCAAATGTGGATCCACAAACGGATGCTCTGATTCAAAGAACCATAAGAACTAAATTCGCTCCTTGCACTGTACTCACTGTTGCTCATCGACTGAACACAATTATGGACAGCGACAAAGTTTTAGTCTTGGATGCAGGACAAATGGCGGTAAGATTTCTCAAATATTTTCAATTCTTAAAAAATTTTACAGAATCCTATTAATGTTACTGACTAATTTATTTTTTTCACATCGATGTATTTCTTAACATTCATGAAAAAAAAAATTCAATACAAATTATTATGATATTTAGCCTTATTAATTTAAATGAAAAAAAAAATATTTCAGGAATTCGATCATCCGCACATTCTTCTTCAAAACCAACACGGACAATTTACTTCTTTGGTTAGAGAAACAGGACGAGCTATGTTTGAGCAATTATCGAAGGTTGCTGAACTAACGTACTTAACAAAACATAAGGAAACATAATTTTAATATCTTTGTCAAATTTAAAACATAAGGACAATCTATCAAATTTTAATTAGTACATTCGTTAAATAGTAACTGAAGTTTAAGATATTTATCTTGAGACAATAATTTTAAAAAAAAATAATTATCACGAAAAAGTTATTTTTCTACATTCTACACAATTTTTAAATTTCTTGATTTTTAATAAATTGCAGCTTTCTGTAGTTGAAAATCTACATGAATTAAAACACTGTAATATCGAAGAAGTAAATTATATATTACGGTAATTTATTTTTAGAATAATTTTCTTCTCATGATGAAGATAATAATTTTCCAACTGATGTGATAATCAAAAGTAATTTCTTTTAAATTTGGAAGTATTTTTTTATTTTACTTTTGTTACGTTTATTATATTTATAATGCGATTAAGTGTGACATTATTCAAATAATATTATTTGCGTTATGATTGTTTAGAATTTGTTTAGTTTTAGAATTACATTAGTTTTAATTAAAAAATATACATAATAATAATAATAATATATTTTCCGTTACCAAAATAGCTTGTCTTTTGTTTATTTTCCGTTAAAAAATTTTTTTCGTCATTTATTTTTAAAAGAAAAATGTCCAAAAATTCTAAGTGTCACTTTGTGTAAAAATTATTTAAGAAAGGTCATTTTTGTACTGCTACAGATGAAAAATTATTATTTTATTGTAAATTTTATTATGCTACGTGTGAATATTGTGTTTAGAAAAATTAATATATACAATAATAAATATTTTTTCAACTTCAATTATTTGACATTTTTTTTTAACAAAAAACAAGGCGGTTCTCCAAAATGGCAAAATTTTAATGGGAAAACTAAAAACTAATTATGAAAATTTCAATTTTATGTGAATTGAAAATCAAAATAAGAAAAAATATATTATTTGCTAGATCATATTGAACCAATTAAAAAAAATAAGGACATTCAAATATTATGAATAGAATTTTTATTTTTTTATGAAATAACTTTGCGTGTGACATTACTCGTAATTTAAATAAAAAAAAACATATTGATTAAATTTATTATAGAATTCAGTTCGAAATAATAAATAATTTAATTTTAATAGTTGAAAATTAAAAAATAGACGATAAACTTTTACAGTAAGTATATTTTATTTTAATTACAGATAATAATAATAATAATAATAATAATAATAATAATAATAATATAGGCAAATATAGATTAAAAAACCAGACTTGCGTTCCGAACTAGTGTCTACCGTATTTATAATGCGATATATACTAATTAATAAAAATTATTAATCAATGTGGATGCTCGCTTTCATTAATAACCTTGGTCACACAATTCATACATGAAGAGTATTTTCTTAAAATTGAAACTAATCGAATTTACAAATTTAAAATTACAAATTTATCCCTTCTCTCTACATAATCTTCAAATCTATTATGTATTAATTAAAAAGAAATCTTTCTTTTTCTTGAAAAATTCAATCACTCATTATTACAAAAAATTCATCAATAGTTATAATTGATTTAAAACTAAGTTTCAATGGGAATGCAAAAAGTGCAAAAAATGGGATTTAAAAAAAATTTCATTATATTAAATATAATTTTCTTCAAATAAAGAAAATTAAATTTCTTTGAGTCAAAACGCACTTGAAAGATTAGAATACAAAAAAAAGAAATTTATTGTAATTCTGCGAGACTCAATCGTCAACTATTACGCGCTTTATTATTATGCGCCGTATATAATTTTTATTATTTTTTAATTACAACCACTAGTATTTTACCAACAAACTTGTAGGTATGTTCTAGTAATTTTATTTCTTTCTTTCTTTCTTTTTCTTTTGGTGTAAATAATAATATGTTCATTGTTCTATTCTTACACTAAATGAAACGTGTGTTCATTCTTCGTTCGCAATATGTGAACAGAACAAAGTGAACTTCGAACGATAATCATCAGCGTTTGATAAAAATTGTTCATTCCCCATTGTCAGTGCTCTGCACTATTTTATAATATATCCGAGGATAAATCTGACTGAATACATTTTCAATGAGTTGCTCTAATTTCTTTCCTGTTTATCCTCTGCTTAAACATCAGATTTTCACGCTTTGTTTTGTCTTCAAGCGAAACAAGAAGGAGCTTTTTTGTTGTTGTTATTATTATTGTTGATGGAAATCTCTTATCTAAACTGATTATACATGACATTGACCTTGAAAAATAGTTTTTGATAAAAGAATGCAAGATGAGTCAAGAAGACTAAATGGGACCTTCTATCAGACTGATTTTCATGGTACAATAATAAAGACTTCGACCCAGGAATAGAAGAGCCAATAGGAATGCACCTGAGAAATAGATTACATTATATTATTATAATTTAATTAAAAATTATTATAAATAAAATAATTTTTTTTTAATTTCCTAATTTTGTATTTAATTAAACCAAAAAATTTTAAATTATATTAAATTTTTGCTAAAAATATTTTAATAAATTATCTACACATCATAAGAAATATGATACTCACCAACATAAGCAACGTATATTCCACCATTTTCCCTTACCAGCCTATAAGTAGAAACCTGAAAAAACGAAATCATAAGTAATACAATAAAAAGAAACATTAAATATTGAATCTCATTGATACCTTATAAATAATTAATTGAAGATTAATACTCAACGATAATAAAAAAAAATTAATTTTTGATAATGAGCAATAAAACAAACAATTTTTCAAGTAGATTAAAAATTATTGCATAATAAGAATTGATATTTTTTTCAATATGTATACAGATATCATAATTATTGACAATTATAATTAGAAGACCTAATATGAGAAAAGACAGTTAATCTTAAATTAACTTCCTCTAATTTGTAATATGCTTAATGACTGATATTTTTTCCTTCTGATAATAATAAATACCAAAATAGAGCATTTATATCTGAAGGGAAATACAAATTACGTCGAACGCACTTTTTTTTTGGTTTGTAATAAACGCAATTTCAGATAACAATATGCGCCTTATTCAATTCTTCTGAATTCAGTAATCAAATAACTAAACTCCGCAAATCTATTTCTAATTTTCTTTCATAATGTTGAAAGCGAGATATCCCTCTCTAGTTTCTGTAAATTGATAACTTTGCAGAAAGTGAAATACGAATCTTAAATCACTATATATATATATATTAAAAACAATAATTAAAACATAATAATTGAAAAAAAATAATTAAAAAATAATAATTTTTAATATTTTCTTTACTTTTATAGAATGTAAAAGAATTTATTAAGCTATTTTATAAATAAACAAATTTATAATATAATACTTAGTATAATACTTAGTCCCAATCACGGAGATAATTAATATACATACGACTTTACGTTTCTGTAACTTCTAAAAAAAATAAGTTTAAAAATATGTTTTTTAAATTAGAAATTATTTCAACTTTGTTTTTTAGATAAATACCCTATGCAAATACCTATCTTTTTTCAAAGCACGAAATTGATAAAAAAAAATGTAGAGAATTTAACTCATAATTTAAAGAAATTGATAAACTATGTGAAAAATACGTTTGCTTTTGCATGAAAAATCTAAAACTTAATATATTAGAAATTCATAAGAAAAATATAAAAATAGTTGATAAAAAATTTTATTTTAAAAATCATTGAATTTAAAAAAATAATTGAATTTTATTTTTAAATAACTGAATTTTAAAAATGAGAATTTTTATGAGAATTAACAAGTTTAATTAACAAAATTAACAAGTTAACAAAAAATTAATACTAAAATTTTTTTTTCACAATATCTGATTTTTTTTATAATTATTTTACTAATTTATTCATAAAATTTAACTAAATCATAAGAAAAAGTTTGTCACTAATTTAAAGTAGCTAAAATTTTTATAATTAATACTAAAATAATAAATAAGGGGGTAGTGTTAAAATTTCAAAAAAATCTATCACATGATTTATGGATGACCCCTTTGGCAAATTTTAAAGTTTTTTTATTTTCACAGGAAAGATGAGTTTTTTTCCAATAAAGCTATAAATCTCAATTTAAAAGTGGAATAACAAAAGATTTTCGAATTTAAAAAATTTGAAAAAATTTTTTTTTGTCCCTCGTTCATCTTTATATATTTTATCGGGAAAATTCTCCGCTTTTCAATGAAAATAAAAAAAAGAAAATACCCAACTGAGATAAATCTGAAAAATAAGACTAGATTTTAAAAAAGGGGGGTTTAAATTTTTTTTTGTATTCAAAACTACATGGAAAATCCTTCAATATTCCCGGTGTTTAAAAATAAAAATTTATTATTGTGTTAAAGATACTTTTTAGAATTTTTTTTGTTGAATTTATTTTATTTTAGGAATTTATTGCTTTTAAATAGGACAACAATTTAGCAAAATATCAAGAAAATCACAAAACTTTTAACTATAAATTGAAAATTGCTTGTTTTTCAAGATTTGGAGCAAAAATCCTTGACTTTGGCAGGATTTTTCTTCATAAAATTTTCTTACTTTTCCAGGACTTTCAGATTTTTAAATAGAGTATCAATCCTGTCAGTTTTAAAATTTAAAACCAAAAAATATCAACAAATAATAAAAAAATAATAATTAGAAAAGAAGTATAGTAATTTGAAGGAATTAATTACTGTTAAATAAAAATAATTAAAAGAAATGTACCCACAGTTAAAGTCAGTGACATTAAAATTGCAGAATAAACATTTATTAGAAAAAATATATATATATAATATATATTTATATATATACGTTGATAAGCAACTTCAAAAACGCGTTCTTAGTATCTATAAGACTGTATTTGTATATATATGTAAACATGAAACATCGACGTATATGTGAAAAAGATTGATCTCATAATAAAATGTAGTGGTATGCCTTTGTGCAATGAAGAGTGTAGTATGATTCATGAGAGTAATTTATATTCCGCTGGCACACATTTAGTTATCACTGACATATTCAGCAATAGGAATATAATGACAACGAGATTGAAATTTGGAAAATTGGCCAAACTTTTTAAATGGACTAATTTATTTTATAATACTAACATTTTACAATTATAAAATAAAATTATAAAGAAAATATATTAAATATTATTAATAATTATTAGATTACATATTACAAAATTTTATAATTAAATATCATAAGGGATTATTAGTAAATTACTTTTTGTTTTTATTGGTACCACAATAGAGATACTGATGTTTAAAGTGTTTAATTTTTTTCTCTTGTAATTATAATTTAGTACTTTTGTACCAAAGAGCAAAATAATTATATATGTATTAATTTAATTTCTTTTCTCAATATTCACTAATATTTAATGTTATTTTTTTCGATTAAATCATTAAAAAAAAATTCTCTATTATATCCTTTCTTTACGTCGGTGAAGTTCATAACGTTTATGATCAAAGATTGAAAGAAAAAAAATATTTTTCATTCGGAAAATAATTCATTTGTTGTCTACAAATTTTTCATTCAAAAATTGTTGATCGAAAAATGTGAAAAATTTTTTTAAATTAAATTTTAAATTAATTAATCGAAATACAAAAATTTATCTAGATTTCTTTGAATATTCAACTTCCTTTATAATTTCGAAATTGTTAAGATTAATACTAAAAAGAGGATGAAAAGTTATATGAAGATAAAACAACAAACGCAATAGAAGAGATTGAATGTCATAGTTGAATTTATAGGCAATTTTTACTTTGATAAGTTTCATTTAATCTTCAATTTACTTCTTCATATTATTTGCATTACTATTTGTAATTGAAAAAAAAAATAATATTTAAATAGTAATTTTTTTCTTTAAAAAATACAAGAACTTAAAAAAAATGTTTTTAAAATGTAACAAAAGTTATGAATGCCAGGTAAAATTTACAACAATTACGATTAACGATTAAAAATAAAAAATATTTTTTCACGCGGAAAATAATAAAATTTGCCTAAAAATTTTTGCTTTTAAAAATTGCTCGATAAAAAACGGTGCAAAAATTTGTTTTTCATATTTTAATTAGGAAAAAAATTATATTCAAAAGTAATTTTTTTCTTCTAAAACGTTGATCATAAACGTAAAGTTCAGCGAAGTTGTGATAAGAATTTGAAAATTACTCACCGTGACAACAACTCCAATTGTTAAACAAACAATTCCAAGGATAATGAATAAAATTCCACGACCTCGAGCAAAATCAGGACCAACTGAAGATACTTTTCGACAATGTGGACATCGAGCCAAAGCATTGTTTAGTGTATTAAACTGTGAAAAAATTAAATATACAATAATTAAATTGAAAACTATTTAAATAAATATGGAAATTTAATTTCCTTACCAAAAATGTATCATGACAATGAGCACAGCAAACTCTGCACATTCCTGGCATCGAAAGAACAGGAGGTGTAACAGGGCTTGGTGCAAGATTAATTATACGTTTGCAATTTGGCCTTGGACATGCAATTCGCTGTGAAGAGCTTTTGCATATTAGAAGACAATTGCATGGACAACGTACGTATTTTTTTCCAGGTGGTGCGTTTCTTATTGGCTATCGAAAATAATTTATTTCATTAATTAATTAATCTTAATCAATTATCTATATAATTAAATAAGTCTAAATAATTATTTTTCTAATCAGTTTCTTTAAATCCAAAATTTCGTTAACAAAAAAAAATGTTTATACATAATTACAGATCTCGGATTTATATTCGAAAAAAAAAAAAGTTGATTTTTTATTTTTAATAAATTTAATTAGTTTATAAATATTTTATTTCAAATAACTATTGTTATTTTCAAGATTTTAATTGAAATGTATTTAAATAACTTAATTCAATTTTCAAAAAATTTAATGAAAATTATTAGTTAACAATAATTTAACAATTAATTTAAGATAACATTTTTTTATAACAATTGAATTTTCAGAGTTATAATTGAGATTTTTATATTAAAAATTTATGAGTAAATAAATTGTAGGTTTTACATTGAAATTTTTAGAAGTAGGTATATTTGTATTTCAAAAAATTTCAAATGGAAATTTTTTGAAAATTTTAATTGCTGAAAAATTTTTTTATTATCTATGAAATTATTATTAATTATTAAGTTTAGATTTTTGGAAATAATTAAATTTTATGTGAATGTGAATTGAAATTTTTGGTAATTTTATTTGACGAAATTTTTTTTTAAAAATGTCAAATTATTGAATTTTTTTAAAATTATTGAAAATAATTAACTTAGCGAAGAATTTTATTCAAAAATTTGTTAAGTAATTAAGTAATTATTGTTAAGTAACTAAAAGAAGTCGTATTAAAAAATTTCTAAACAATAGTCGAAAAAGTACAATCCGAGGCCTGTAATTATTTTAGTTGCTAGGGCGAGAACAAAGAAAAATGAAAAGAAGATTGAAATTAATCCTGTTTATTTTTACAAATACTTTATTAGACAGATGTTTATTAAAAAGTATCTAAGATAAAAAAAATAATTTCCTAGATGACTAGAAATGATTTATCAGGTCGTCAAAGAGTGAATACAGAAAAAAAAAAGACGAACAAGAAAATGGAAGACAGCTATAATGTTTTATATAGGAATGAAAAAGAGAGAAAAAAAAGAATTAGAGAAACATACAGTAGCTTCATTGCATTGATTGCATTTAACGACATGCTGCTCTCGTTTGCCGGAAATGTCTATCATGGCTTGACAAACCCTGCAGGTAACCATAGGCAAACCACCCTGACTAGCAGATTGAAATGGTGGTGGCAATTCATCGGGTCCAATTGGGGAAACTGTATTTACGTTCGGTTGAACGTTTACATTTGGTTGAATATCTTCTGCGAGAAAATGACAGATATATTGCACCAAATGTCCGTCGTCATTATGTATATACATATACAATGACAGCTACTTTTTATTTACCTGTAATTTCGCTAGTGTAAGGTTGAACAAAAACATTCCCTCCTGTCCTGATTAAGGGCTCACGTTCGCCCTCCTTTCCGTCACCCATTTTTATTTATTTTCAAATCACTTGTTTTCACTGACTCGACTTTTTTTTTTTGACAACACAGACGACGATGATGACAAATATCACCGCGAGCCCGTCGTGCCCGTCGGGACCTGTCGTCGCGAGCAACTCTCGTTGTTGATTACTAATTCTAGATAAGCAACAAACGATAGAAAAACGCGGGGGTGTTATTTCATTTTTTCCCACCAGAGAGCGCTGAAAATTTTATATTTCAAAATCTGTTATTAATCTATGTTTGTTAATGTCATACAAACATTTCGTATTGTATTTTTAAATTTTCTTCAAATTTAAGTTTAATAAATAATTAATTTATAATTAATTTTATTGAAATTTATTAGAATTTGTAATTTTAAATGAAAAATATCAAAAGTTCCGGCAAATTTATATAACCAATCAGCGTTGATATTCTGTTGGATCAACCAATCACTGTATACTCTGAATATGTTCACTCAGTGGTTTACTCCTTTCGGCTTCTCCGGTGGACTTAACCTAAAAATTTCTCGGTTTTGCAGCTGTATAGCTGTCAAATTGATTATAATTGAGTGTGTTTATAATTTAAAAAAAAACTTTATTTAAGCACATAAAATGCCACCGAAACACAAATTTCAAGAAGGTACAAGTCGACGATTGTTTATTACAGGTTGGAATTTGAATTGGGTTCAATTTTATTGTGATTCATCCCACAATCAAAAGGATGTTTTCAAAAGTGTAAACAATATCGTTAAAAAATGAATTGTTTTATTTCTTATGTTTTTATTTATTTTAATAATAATTTTCTTTTTCTTTTAAAGGAGAAAAAGTATTGTGTTTTCATGGTCCTTTGATTTATGAAGCGAAATGTTTGAAATCACAAATAACAAAAGAAAAACAAGTCAAGTATTTCATTCACTACGCTGGTTGGAATAAAAAGTGAGTTAATCGTAAAAAATGTAATTTTAAATAATTTATATTGATTGTAATAAATTTTTAATTTTTGTATATTTATAAATAAAAATTGTTTTTTCTAATTTTTAATGTTAAATTTGTAAATTAATTGTTTTTTTAAATTGAAAATTTGAAAATCAATAGTTGGGATGAATGGGTACCGGAAAGTAGAGTATTAAAATATAATGAGGCAAATTGCCAGAAACAAAGGGAAGTGCAACGTGCACATTCAAATCAACAATCCTCGCAGAAAAGTAGAAAAAGTACAACGGCAACAAAAACACAGGGGCGCCGAAGTGAAGGTGGCCGGGAAAAAGATAGTGATAGTAGAGCAAGTACGCCGGTTGCTAATGTTGAAAAAGCAACTAGTCGCACAGGAAAATATAGCACTGGATCACTGTCAATCACATCTCATGATTCAATATCAGAAGCACCTAGAAAGCGAAGAGGGTAAAACAAATTTCATAAATATATTTTTGATTTACGTTATAATTTCTTTTTTTTTTTGCGAAAAAAAACTAATTTAAATTTATTAATTAAATTAATAATTATTATTATATTATAATATAATAATTAATATAACAAATTTTTTTTCAGTCGTTTGGAAACATCTGGTGAATCAGAAGAATTTTTCACTAAAGTTGAATTAAAAATTTTAATTCCACATGATTTAAAAGTTTTACTTGTAGAAGAACATGAAGCATTATTAATAAACAAACAGTTACCGACACTTCCAATGCGAATAACGGTTGAAAAAATTTTAAACGATTACGTAGCATTTCAAGAGAAAGATCATGTTAATGATTCTTGCAGGTATGTTAATTTTTGTACTCTTTTACAGGGGCGATAAAAATAAAATAAAAGAGACATCTTTTATTTTAATCTAATTACCAAAACTTTTTTTTAGAAATTATTAGAATTGACATAAAAAATTTTGAAATAAAATTATCCAAAAAGAAATTTTTTTCAAAAATGATAATTAATTGTTACAATTGTATATTAAAATATACAAAAATATATTAAATATACATTTTTTTAAAAAATTTTTTAAAACTTTTAATATTAAAGTCTTATTGATTTAAATATAAATGACCCTTTGATTTGAATTGTTATTTAAATCATTGCAGCCCCGACTCTTTATTTACATAAAATAAAGAGAATTAATAAAATTAAAAAGTTTATATTTACATTTGTTAATAGAGAAAGTGCATTGGAAGTAACAAAAGGAATTAGGGAATATTTTAATATTTCTCTTGGTCAACAGTTGCTTTATAAATGGGAAAAATTACAATTTGAAGATATAACGAGAGAAAATCCTGACTCTTTACCAAGTCAATTGTACGGAGCCTTCCATTTGTTGCGTCTTTTTGGTATGTCTTAATTTTAATTTTCCTTTTCATAGTTTCTACTAATAAAAAAAAACTCATTTTTGTGGTGTCGAATTAAAAATTTATTTTATAAAATTCGGCTAAATAAAATTTCGATAATTTTTAATTCAACACTTAATTTTTTTGTACCGTGGAAAAGCAACATATGTTCAAAAAGTTTAATAATTTTTTTACACCTTATATCATAAAAAACTAAATCAAACATGAAGAAGATTCGAAAATATTTTAATTTATTTTAAATGATTAAATATTATTTCAATTATCTATTTGACTGAATAATATTTTTTTAATTAAATTTTTTTTTGTTCGACTTATAATTAAAAAAAAATTTCAACTATAAATATTTGAGTTCAGTTCTGGAGAATTATTCTAAAAAAAAAAAATTCTTTTAATATTTAACTCAACAATATTTCATGAATTATTTATTTTATAAAACTTTAAATGAATCTTGTATAATTTTTAAATTACTGCTAAATTTTTTCAAAATACACTTTTCGGAATTGAAGCTTGAAATTTTGTCTAAAATTTATTGTCAATTATTTAAAGAATTAGTGTAATTAATTAATTTATTTTTATTTAATAGTAGTAATTAATAATGAATATTTAATAATATTAAACGATTTTTTCAAAAAACAATCTGAGATTATTATTTCTTTTATAACACAATTTTTTTTATTTACTTAAAGATCGTAAAAATATTGAAAATCGATAATTTTATTAAATATTAATTTATTATTAATGGAATGAAAATAAATAAAAGAAAAGGAAAATAAATAAAATTAGTAAACACATCGCTTTAATTCTAATTTAGTCTTAAGTATTGTATTTAAAATTATTGATTTTTTTTAATTTAATAATAATTTTTAGTAAAACTTGGCAGTATGCTTTCGTATATTGAAATGGATGAGAGAAGCGTTCAAGTTCTCACACTTAGATTTCACGATTTTCTTCAATATATGCAGAAAAACAAAGACAGCCTTTTTGACCTTCAACAAGACTATCCAGAATCCACATTGGAATATCAACGAAAAAATTCTCAATCATAAGTCATCATTTTTTTTATACCTTTCTTTTTTCTTTTTTTTTTGATAAACTTTGCTGAATGAATCTTAGCAATTTATATTCTAATCGCGAGAAACTGTACATATATTTGATATATTATTTTTAAATCATGATATTTAAAACAATAGAAATTACGTATGGAATGCTCATACACAATCGATGTTTATGATCTTTAATAAAAAAAAATTATAATAATTGTCAATTTGTATTTAGTTTACATTTTATTTTAACTTTTTTTTAAAACATAAAAAGTATATTTTTTTGTTCGAAAATGCCAAAATTCATTAAAATAATAATAAAAATAGAAAATTAGGATTTGTATTTTTGAATTTACCGCCCTTTTTATGTTTAATGTTTCGGAATTTATTTTTCTGAATTTAATGTCTATTTTTAGTCTATTGATTGTATTTTCATAATTTCATTAATTTGTAGGCAAATTTAATTAAATAGCGCATGAAAAGTGAGAAAAAATCGCATTTAAGGGCGCATGAGAAAGGGCTCTAATTATTACATTTTACGTCAGTGGCATATAGAGATTAGTGTCGCATGCGCGAATTGAATTGTGTGCTACTACCGGATCCGGAAACATTGAGCTTGCTTCTAGTCAGTCGGCCAGTTGCAACAAAAAATGGCGGAGGTCGACTTGAATATCGACAGCCTCATACAAAGATTATTGGAAGGTACGTGAATAAACGTATATTTTTGCAAGAAAACTTTATTGCTTCGTTTCTTTAATTATTGAAATTTCAATTTGAAATGCGGTTAGAGGCGTTCGGCATGTAATACTGTGTGAAAAAGGAAAAAGAAAAAAGAAATCGAGGATCAATGTCAACCGTATACCTCGAATGTGTACTGCGTGTATATATATATTGTTTGTTGTTAACCGCAAGTTTAATTAAAAAAAAGGCTTAGCCCGGCTTACAGGTATTGTTGTTGAACGCCAAAAACGCTCCTTCTCCTTGAATGTCATTTTTTATTATTAACTGCAAATCAAGAAGTCGCGCGACAATATTATTCTTGATATATATCATCGTGTGGTTCGATTTGTGATCGCGCGAGTTATGCTTTTTAACACCTGTATTTATTGACTTTGTTTTTTCTAGTTGACAAAAAAAAATTAGTTTTTTTTTTAGAAAACAGAAACAATGTTTTTTATTTCTTCTTTTCTCATGCTACGTTTCGGGACCTTTTGCGGGGTAAAGTATACCACACCCAGAATGACCAGGTTCAGAAGAAAGCCAAGCTTAAAGATATTTTCTCCTCAGATTTTGTTGGTACGCAACAAGGAACCATTCCACGTAGCTTTTTGATTTAAAAAAAAAAAATGAAAAAAAAATTTGTTTTAGTCTTACCGCCTTAACTCTGCATGGGTGTTAATTAATCTGCTTGTCTCGTTATAGTTGCATCACAAATGATAAACAAAAATAAAAAAAAATCACTCAAAAACATTTTACCCAGCAGTGTTAAGACGTAGGTATATTTCTTTCTGTCATTCTATTTTGACTGTACTGTAAATCACAATAAGAATTACAATTTAAAACAATTGCAGTAAGTATAAATAATTTCTAATGTTTTTATTAATAATTTTCAAAATCTTGAAAGAGATCTTGAAATGATTTTTAAATTCAATTTTCAAAAAAATTTATTTTAAATTTAGAGTAAATTTTCTACCTTTTTTTAAAAAAATGAATACAGAAAGAAATTTAAAAGTAAAGAGGCAAAAATTTGTAGTCATGATGTTTAATTGAATTGAAGCTTTTAAGTTTTAGATTTTCCAGGATAGGATGTTCGTAATATTGTAGTGCGTTTAAATGCGATTAAATGTTAAATAATTTGAAACAAAATTCAAAAATAATTTTTTTTTTTTTTTATTTTAAGAAATTGAAAACAAAATTGTTTTTTTTTTTTGTAAAAAAATTCCAGTGTGAAAATAAAATATTTCGGGAAAAAAATGTGGAAGTTCTCGATTTAAATTATATTGAAAAATGTGTCTTTTGATTTATTATTAAAAAGAAGACAAAATGTGTATATTTACGTTGCACGAGGCTTGTTGTTAGAATATATATAATATAAAATATATATGTATAGTGAAACAATAAGTGTTTGATAGGATGTTACATAGCGTTAGATGAGCTATAATTATTTTAACTTGTTAAATGCAGCACGTGTGATTAAGCTTACAAACTCGAGTGTAATACTAAAATGCACGTTCGTCAATGTTAGTTTAAGCCGTATATTTATACCCTTTATTTATTATTTGTATCATACGTGCTTCTTTATTTTTCTTATATGCTAGAAATAATACTTAGTTTGATAAAAAAAAGAAAAACAAAAAATTTTATTTTCATTCGATTAATTAATTTAATTAAAAGATTGTCTAAAATTTTAATCAATTTTTTAGTTTTATTTTTTTTAACCATCTTATTATAATAATTATATAATAAAAAGACCTTAATAAGGTTATGTGTTTTAAAAAATTATACTTTAAGTTTCGAACATTATTGGTTTTTTTTTCATTTATAAAACAAAATTGATTATTTTCTTCTTATAAAAAAACAGAAAAAATTTTAAAAAATATTTCAGAAAGAATTTTTTTTCTTGAAAAATCTGAAAAAAATTCAAGAATAAAGTATATGTTATAATGAAATTCGTATGTTTTATTGATGTTTTAAGGTTATGTTTAGATTTAAATTATAGAATTAATATTATAAAAATAAGAATTTTTTACCCGTATTGGACATTACATTTTTTTATAAGAAGTTTTTTTCAACTACTTTTTTTATTTCATAAATAAAAAAAATTTTAATTAGAATTTCAGGGTGTCTAGTAATTGAGGAATAAATGCAAATTACTTAGAAATTTTGTTATCAAATCGAGACTTTTAATCAAAATATAAAATAAAATTGAAAAATTTCTCTTTTTTCGCTATAAAATTCTCCTTGTTTTATAAAATACAAAAAATTTATTTATTTTTATAAATGGGACGAAATTCTCATTTTTTCCCTCAAATTCTTCGTGTTTTTCAATTTTTCCTTCAAATTCTCTCTTTTTGGGAAAATTTTTTCTATTTTATTTTGAGTTTTTTTATATCCATTCATTTTTCATAAAATTTTCCTGTTTTTTTCGATTTTTTTCTTAAATTTTATTTTTTTTTTAAAATTATTCTTCGAAAATTCATAAAATTTATTTATTTTCAAAAATTGGGACAAAATTCTCATTTTTTCCCTCGAATTCTTGTTTTTTTGGAATTCTTAAAATAATTTATTTTTCTTTCAATTTTGTTCTTTTCTACGATTTTTTATTTCTGTCAATTGTTTATTTTTTTATATTTTTTAAATTTTCCGTTTTTTTCATTCTTTTTAAAAAATTTTTTTTCAAATTCTGTTGCTTTGAAATTTCTAAAATGTATTCATTTATTTTTCCTTTATAAACTCGCTTAAAATTCTCATTAAGAAGATTTTTTTAGACTTTGCAAAAAGGACCCATTTTTTAGACTCGCATTTAAAATTTAAAAAATTTTCCCGAATTCCTATATTTACTAAGTTTTTCTTTTTTGTTTTTATTTCCTGAACTCTCGTGTTGTTTATTATTCTTTTTTAATTTTTTAAAAAATTGTTCTTCAAATTCTCTTTTCTTAGGGGAGTTTTTCTCCATCTTTCTTTGAATTTATTCGATTTATTTATTAATTTGTAGTTTACGTTTAAATTTATTTTTAAAAAAATAATAATTTTAACAAATTTAAAAAAATATATGAAACATTCAATAATAATTTTTAAATTATTAGTAACAATTAAAATGAAATATTATATAATTTCATTAACGGAAAGAAATAGGTAAATGACGATAGAAATTTGATTCGTCGAAATAACTAGACACCTTGAATTTTATTATATATATATTCTAAGATTTAGTTTTATCTGATTATAAATTGAATTCTTAAGTTATGATTTAAGAGTTTGTATTCATGGTAATATTCGACACGACATGAAAATTTGGTCTTTAACTAGGACAAAAGATGAATATAAATTTAAATTTAAGTCAGTTATCTTCTTATAGAATAAAATTACTGGATTTTTTTCATGAAATGTCAATCAAGTTTGTTACGGTGGATAACTTTTTGTAGATTACATTTCTTATTATAAAATAAATTAAGTAATATAATATTTGTACTTTGAATTAAAAATTACTAAATGTTTACAGATAACAAAAAATTAATTTATACAATTATTTTTTTTTTAATAATTAAATAATTTTTAAAACTTTTCAAAAATTGATGTAATATTTTGAAAAATTGAAAAAAAGTTCCTAAAAACTGAAAAGAGTCGATGTCAATTTATTTTCAGTTCATGATTGCGATAGGTGCTATTTTCAGAATAGACTATGTTCTACATTTCAATATCGTTGCACTCAATGTTTATATAGGTATATTTAAGTAACGATATATTGAAAAGTTCATATATGTATTTCCATATTAATTATATTATTCGCTCAATTTTCAACGCTTTTGCTTCTCGTGTTTTAATATATATCCCAGTGTTTATGGATGAAAAGTATTTTTAAAATCTAATTTAATTTTGAGATTTGAAAATTTTTTTGGAAGTTACACGAAGTTTTCCATTAGGATTATGATATTTAACGAAAGAGTTGATTTTTCAACACCCACGGCTCTCAATGAACTATATATACGCTATTCAATGTTCACAATTAGAAAAAAACCATCATTTCAAAATTGATATACCTATATATTTTACTTTAAAATCTCAGTTTTCTCATTCATATAACCTTGGTATTATTGAATTTTCCAATAATCATTGTGACATCAATTCAACCGTGTAGTAAAGTTCTCCATGGTTGTCTATAAATACTACAACTGCACTATTGTACGACAATCATTTGGTCACTTACTATTTTATAAAAAAAAAGAGAAAAAAAGATTCCACTATTGATTTTTGCTCAAATGAAATCGGATTGACTGCTTATATATATTTGTATACTCTACCCTCGCATTAGAACGTCATAGTAGTATTGACTTAATAAAAATTACAAATATTTGTTGACCAAAAAAATAAAAAATTCCTTATACCAAAATAATAATAGTTATTCAATATCATTCTGAAATTGAAGCTAAATTTAGAGTTGTTAGCTTTGATGTGTATTTACATAATATGAATTGAAAAAAATGAATTGATTTTTAATTTCTATTATACAGTTCGAGGATGTCGTCCTGGAAAATCAGTTGTTATGTCAGAGGCTGAAGTTCGTGGTCTCTGTTTAAAATCAAGAGAGATATTTCTTCAACAACCAATACTTTTGGAATTAGAGGCACCTTTGAAAATTTGTGGCGATATTCACGGTCAATATACTGACCTTCTACGGCTTTTCGAATACGGCGGATTTCCACCAGAAGCCAACTATCTTTTTCTTGGCGATTACGTCGATAGAGGAAAACAATCATTAGAAACAATTTGTCTTCTACTTGCATATAAAATAAAATATCCAGAAAATTTTTTCCTCCTCCGTGGTAATCATGAATGCGCCAGTATAAATAGGATATATGGCTTTTATGATGAATGCAAACGCAGGTATAATATTAAATTATGGAAAACGTTCACCGACTGTTTTAATTGTCTACCAATAGCAGCCATCATTGATGAGAAAATATTCTGCTGCCATGGGGGACTCAGCCCTGACCTACAGGTGACCAAGACCTTTGTTTTATTTATATATTATAATATAATAAGGTACACTATTAAAAGTTTTATAGAGGAAAAAGGGTGTTCATTTTATTGGAAACTTATTCATTGAGAAAACGCAACATTGTTATGATAAAGATGATATCTTAATTTTAAACATTAATATTGTTTGTACTTGTATAATAAGCGTAGGTGGACACGATGACCTAAGAAACTTAAATTAATTCTACAATTGCGTTAAATGTAATAATGGTGTGCTATTTAAAAAAAAACAAATTATTTTATTTTTCTACAGTTGTCTTATGAGGTCAAAAGTAACAAAATTTATATAGTAATTACATTTGTAAAGTGTAATTTTTCAACCTTCACTTTTAAAAATATTTTTTTATTTTTCTAGTTTATTTATTTTTTTTTTTTGAATAATCAAGTATGTTAATGCACATATATTTTTGACTCGTGTATATATAATAGATAGTAAAATTTTCTTTCTCGAGAAAACTCTTTATTATGTTAATTTATTTCCTCGCGTGATAAATCGTAATAAAATTCTGTTGAGGTTCGATTTTTCTATCGCATATACAACAGCACATAATTCAACTATACCTATGTAATATAATCTTATTCTCAAGATTGGAGAATAAAATTTTCTAGATAATTTGATTTCTAATTTTTTTTTCTATTTTATTTTTCGCAGGGAATGGAACAAATCAGGAGAATTATGCGGCCGACTGATGTTCCTGATACGGGATTGTTATGCGATCTACTCTGGTCCGATCCGGATAAAGATGTTCAGGTATTTTTTTTTAAACATTTTCTTCTTTTTAATAAAAATTAATCTGTTTTTATTTTTTAATATATTGGTTTAACTGATTTTTTCGTTAATAATAATTTATAAATAGTAAAAAATAAAAAAATATTTTCAATATTATTTTATTTAATTAAATATTTGAAGATATTTTTAATTATTAGATTGGAATGATTGAAATTTTTAAAATGTTTTTCTTCAGTTATACTTTTATAAAAGAAATTTAAATTCAAATGTTAAAATCTTATGAATTATTATTATTATTATTATTTATAAAATTTGTTATAAATAACCTGCAAAAATACCGTTTTTTGTCCTGGAAAATCTGAAAAAGTCAATGAAGTAAAGCAAAAGCGTGGCAACCCTGTAAATAAATAAATTAATTAAAAATTAGCGTTATTCAGAATAATTATTAATTATTAATTCAGAATAGACCCGGTTAAGTGTATTTTATTGACTAAATTCAAATTTGAAATTTTTTTTTTAAGAATTATTTTTGTTTAGAAATAAAGTTAATTAATTTATTTAATAATAGTCAAGCCGCGGATTATACGACTTTTTTTTACATTTTTTTACAAAATTTTTCAACTAAATTGAATTATCCTAAATTATTTTTCAATTAAAATTTTTATGAATTTCTACAATAATTGTTTACAATTTTAAGAAAAATCAAATAAAATTACCAAATTATAACTCTTCCGAAATTCAATTATTTATAATATTTTCTTTTGTTTTTATAATATTTTTCGAAAATTCAATTATCTGAAAGCATTTTTCAATTAAAAACTTGAAATTCTATTTTTGTCTTTAATTTCTAATAAATTCTTCATCAACAGAAAGCACCAAAAATTTTAATTAAAAATCACTTGAAGTTCAATTAATTTCAAAAATATAAATTGTAATTCTTTGAAATTACTTTTAAAAAATGTTATCTAAAATTTTTTGATAAATTATTTTCAATTTTATAAAATTTAATTAATTATTTCTTATTATGGAATTAATAAAATGGATTTTTTCAACTATTTATGCGCCTTAAAGTCGATCCGATGCCTTTTTTTTGCCTCTTATTTATAATATAGTTCGTTAATATATATTATAATAATAAAAAAATTTTGATAATTTTTTAGGGATGGGGTGAAAATGATAGGGGAGTGTCCTTCACTTTTGGGCCAGATGTAGTTTCAAAGTTCCTCCATCGACACGATATGGATCTCATTTGTAGGGCACATCAAGTCGTTGAAGACGGTTATGAATTCTTTGCGAAACGACAGCTTGTCACATTATTTTCGGCTCCAAATTATTGTGGAGAATTCGACAACGCTGGTGGAATGATGAGCGTTGATGAAACTCTCATGTGCAGTTTTCAGGTATTTTAAAGTTCTTTATTTATTATAATACCTAGTAATTATTTATTTCAATGAAAAACAATGAATTTCTCATGTTTTAAATAGAAATATAGTTTGTTTTTAAGTTAATAAACAAATACATGTTTATATTTATTTTTTCACAGATTCTGAAACCATCGGAAAAAAAGGCAAAATATCAGTACTCGGGAATGAACATGGGTCAGGCTGTTAGGCCATCAACGCCACAAAGAAATCCAACAAAGAAAAAATGACCACTTTCGACTGAATATTCGGTGGACTTTGGTGCATAGCCTCATAAATTGGCGTTTTTTTGTTTTTTTTAGGTAAGATATAAATTGCGAGTAGAGGGCAATAAATCAAGGTGTGCAAACACTTCCTAAAAAAATATATAAATTACGGTAAAAAAAATTTTTCTCAAAAAAAAACTGAAATTCAATTTAAAAAAAAAATCGTGCTTCCAAAACTTTGCTTCTGGGCTTTTAAATCAAAAATAATAAATCACTTTTCGAAAAAAATAACAATAAAAACATATTTTATATGAGAAACAACGTTTTTGTATAAATTATGTAATTTTTTGAATTGTATCCAAATCGTCCATGAAGTAATATATATGACACGTTTATAATGACTCAGACTTTTTAATAACTTCTCCAGTTTATTAATAAATTTTGTTTTTGACGACAAATTACCTCACAAGGCATGAAGCCAAGAGTTTTCGAAGCACGAACAAAATTTTAAATATTGCTTCACACACACACACAGGAAATAAATAACAATTTTCAAAAAAAAAAAAAAAAAATTTGCACACCTCTTGTAGTGTAACTTTTTGAGAAATCATCATAAAAAAAACACGAAGTAGCTCCTCCGTGGGTTTTGTTTTGTTATTTTTTTTTCAAATTTTTATAAAGCAGTACAAAAGTAATTTCTTAATCTTGTTTTATTGCTATTTAGAATAGTATAGAAAACGTAGCTTTGCGAATGCCGCAAGCAATTTTTATTTTTTTTTTAAATTCTTGATTTTAGAATTTTATATTTTCAGCTATGCGGAGCGCCACGCTACGGATCTATACCATTACACAACAAAAATATAAAAAGCATGGAATTATCCTTTTTATTCTTTGTATAAATTTACTCAATAAGGTGATTTATAAGGACAAATCTCACTTCCTACTTATAAATAATAATTATAATTGTTTAGATGTGGCTTCCAGCCTGCATTTCTACACGAAAGAAATTTTTAAAATTTCATTTATTTATTGTCTGTTAGTAAATTAATTATAATTAGTATTAATACACGCATTTCTGCTAATTCAATTTATTCGTTCATTGAGTATCGGGAAGCCATGTTTTATATTAATCAAATATTTGCAGAGCATTCACGTTTTAAAAATGTTTCATTGTATTTTTTTTTTTTTTTTTTTTAAATTTTTTTTCTAGAAGTAAGAAAGTGAGAGAGAAAGAGAGAGAGAGATGAATTTATTTTTAGAATATTGAACTTTTCTTGAAAACTTAATTTGTTGACTTGAGATTAATATTAAAATGTAATATTAAAATATAATATTTAAATATAAATAATAATAATAATAATAATGTAATATATATAAATATTCTATAATATAATATATTTTGAAAAAATATAGAGAATGCTCTGTAAATAATTGCGTATTGCCAAGAATGGTGATATTTTTACTCGAACTCAGTATTTAACGTTATCGATCATAAGCATTTTGCTTATCAAATAGTCGTAGACCTTTCAGTATATTTACTCTGTATTTGTTTTGTTACTACTTGCTTCGTTTTTCGAAAATATTTCCCCCATTTGTATTCTTTTTTTTAGGAAGAAAATCTTCTTAGCCTACAGTATTTAATTTTTCTCAGTTTTGAGTATTTTTTTTTTTTGTATTTTGAAAATCGTAAGCAAGATGGTTTCATTTCTAATTGTATGAAAGCTGCCATACCAGAGAAATGTATTGTTACTTAAATCAATGTTTTTTTTTTCATTTTTTGACAGAAGTTCAAAAAAAAAATTTTTTTCGATGGTATTTTTTTTCAATTATTTGTCAAATTAATTTTTATATTTAAGATATTGTCTTCCGTTCAGTAAATAATCTGATCAGTTCTACGCACTACTATAATACTACCACTATTATTATTATTATTATTATTATTAATGTTCATTGACATTTCTGTTATTGCTAAGCGCTTTTAATCCTTGCAATTTTGCTTGGAAACTTTGTCGCTAGCTTATTGTTAATTGTTTGTAAGACTATGAGATAAAAAAAAAGTAACATGTTTGTCAGAAATTAAAAAATAATAAAATACACCGAAAATTAGTATTAAAAGTGAACATAAATGCAAAAAAAAAGAAATGATCATATATGATCAAATTGACCTAAGTTACAATTAATTTCACTGGATAGGGAGATTAATCAGTATATTTAATATTGTTACTCTTAGAATTTAGATCTCTGTCTACCCTGGCAAATGATTGATTCCAATCGTTTATAATTGAGCTTCGAGGGATCATAATAATTTTTGACGTTATTTTTTAGAACAAGATTATTATAAATAATTATATAAATATATATATATATTATTTCGTTGGATTTGATGAAACACTATTATTGATTTTAAAAAGTCGACGTCCAAAGTCTGACAAAATGTGCACAGGGTGGCTTTAAAAAACAAATAATTTATTTCTTTTTTTTTTTTTTTTATTTTCTAACTTATTTCTTTATTATTCACGAAAGTCTATACAAATATTTTGTTTTGTTAAAAGAATATTTTTCAAACTCTAGTTATTTATGTAATTTTACTTAAAATTAATCTTTAATGTAATTTTACATTATTTTTAGAATTAAAAAAAAATAACTGAATGAATAGAATTAATTTTACTTGTTTACGAATTGTAATAATGACCAAAGATAGAAATCAGAGATTAGCGCCCATTCCGTGTAAATTTTGCAGCTTTGGCAAGGCAGGGCAAAGGAGGAATTCTTCTGTGATTCTCTACTTCGTGAATAAAAAAAAAAAAATAATAATAATAAATGAATAAGGGCAAAGAGATGTATACACGAATTACACGTGAGCAATAATTTGTAAAGGGCACGTCTGCTGCGGATCGAAAAAAAAAAAATTTGCCGTATAAAAAGAACGTTTTAAATTTAAGTATTCTAATTAAAGAATTATAGTGTGTGCGGCACACTCATGTAATCGCAGTAGACGCACCGATTTGACAAAACTTTAAACTGTACATCATACAAATAATAAACATGTATATTGTTGTATCAGTGGAGTGATGTTTATTTCACAGACCTTTATAAATGCCATAATAGTTGTACGATTTTATTTTCTATTTTTATATTTTCAGATACTTATTTTTAGTTGTAATTATAAAAGTGCAAAATCATTTCAGTTTCGTTTTTATAGTTTTAAATGTAATTAAAAAATTTTAATTATTTTAAAACATCTTTATCTTTATTAATTATATTTAATTTTAATTAATTGAAACATCCTTATACTTAATATTGAAAAGAAAAGTTTTTGAAGTTGGTTAAAAATGTTTTCATTTTATTAATAAAAACATTGGAAAATGAGAAAAAGAAAAAAAGGCAACATTACGCGCTACTCCTAACCCATCCAAGTACAAATCGCGTTCAACGTTGCTTAAGGTCATGTGATTGTTGTGATTTCACATGTAAATATTCTCCGCAGATTTTCTCGCAGAGTACTTGACAGATTAAGATAAAATTTTGAAAAGAACTCAAAAAATGTATTAAAAAATTGCATATTTAAGAAAATCACTGCTGCCATATTGAATTTTCCTGAAATTTGTAATTTTTAAAAAATAAATTTTTTGATGAATTATTAATATTCTAGCAACAGCGACTCTTAATACTATTTTTGATTTCGTCACGAAGTTGTAGTTCAATTTATCAAATATTTTTTGCGAGAAATTCAGCAGACAATTTACTTGCGTGAAATCAAAACAATCACATATAACCTTAAATCTTAAATTAAAGTAATCGGACCAGAACTTTTTTTCCGCAACGTTTTTGTTTAGAGACCAACATTTATTTAAGAATAACAAAAAAAATATAAATTCTATTTACAGAAGAAAAACGTAGTCTTAAACATTGTTTCTTCATCGTATAGTGTGAACGGTGCGACATGTACATAATTTTTTTTATATTATTTTTTTCAATATAACCTCTATTTAATTTATTAAAGTTTACAGAAATGAAATATGGAAATAGTTACATTTTTCAGGTATGTATAGTAGAGAACTATTGCTAAATTTGAAATTTAATTTTTTTATATATTTATTTATATTATAACAAAGGGGTTAAACGATTCTTAATAAAAAATTCACAATTTTTTCAAAATTTACTTTCACTTTTTTGGTACATTAAATCTGAATAATAGTGATAATATTTATAAATATTAATGTTATTTAAATAGTGGTTTAAATATTGTTCATTTTATTAATGGGTCAGAGTGTCTTTCACTACAATTAAATTTACTGGATTTTTTAAATATATTTTTATTAGGAACTGGAAGATTTATTATTGAAGGGTGAAAAAAGAATGTCATTTAATAAAATTTTGTTTGAGATTTTATTTTCATATTTGTAGCAATAAAGTATTCAATATTGAAGATACTGTTAATTAATAATAAATAAAATTCCGTTAACAACCTGTAACTGCGAGGAAAAGTTGGTTGAGGATGATGTAAATAGTTGTTCATTTTTTTTTTGGTTTTTTTTTTTTAAATTTTCTTTTTTTCGGTTTCGTTCTTGATAATGATTGACATATTCCAAGAAGGACGACGTAGAAATCCCTAGTGGACGTATGCTGTAAAAAAAAGAAATTAATAAAATTATTGAAATTATAACAATAATAATCTAAACGTTCCAAAAATTTTCTAATTACATATAATCGAAAATTATTTTTTATTACACATTTAAATAATAAAATGTTATTAAAAATAAAATATATTTTTGCAAAAAATTTACATTTTAGACTTCTGAAACGTTATTAACAAAATATTAATATTAATAACGGGTTGAACAGAGAAAAAAAACAACATTGAAACCTGAAATTTGGAAACGAAATCATGCACAAATTTGATTTCTCTTATTCACTTCTCAAGCAGAGTAAAATTTGCAGCAATGCTTCTATTGCAGTTTTTTTTTTTAGATTTTGTCACAAAATGATTTTTTTTTTATTATTATTTATGATGATGAAAATTGCAAGCTTGATGTGGATTATACACTTGTTTCCTGCGGTTTTAGAGACACTGTCAATTTTTAAAGTAGGAGAACCTTTTCATCATCTGGCATATTATTCATTTCGTCTTGCAAGAATCTGTAAGTCTTAGGTATTTTAAAAGGATCAATGGTTCAAATAAACGTGTGAGTTTCTTTTTTCTTTTTTAATAATAAAATCTCGAGACAAATAACTATTTTTGTTTCGAGACTAAAAAAATTACTGAAAACAGATATTTCTTTTTTTAATTTTTCAAATCAATTTTTCTATTTTCTTAGAAAAATATATATTATTGTGACGCGCAACGAGAAATAATACCTTACAGGCAAAAAAATTATGTTTGTAATTTTCGGACTGAAAATACACTGTAAAAAATATTTTACATGATTCATTTTTGATTTGCAAATCGGGCAAAATATTTTTACAATATAAACCACTGATTTTTAAGTCTGCATTAAATTCAAAATATTAAGTTAAAATTTTAATTTCACATTAAAATTGAACGTTATCAAGTCTAAAACTATTACTAAACATAACCTACATTTTTTTGCTTCGGTAATTTTTCTCGTGACGCGTCACACATCTGTTTGCAGTAATTTGTAATTGTAATTAATAATAATTAATATATGTAAATTAATTAAAGGGAGAGACAAACTCAATTTTGTTTCATTCAAGGTATGCAAGGACGTTACAGTTATAATTTTCAAAATATTGGAAATTGATTATTATTAAAAGGTGGGGGGGTATATAGACTCAAAATGAAAATTGATTGTCTGCTCACTTCAAAGGGGTCTACGATTGTACCAGGGGCTGGTACAGTGAACTCGTGGTACGGGCATCGAATAATAGTAGTATGTTTGTGGTGATCCTGAAATGACAGATAATCATTTCAAAGAAAATCTTGATAACAATAACATACTATGTATATAACGAGAAAAGCGACAGATACATTTTTTTTTTAAAGACATTTAACAAAATCAGCATCAGTTCATCTCCAAATTAGTTTTCTACGTAAATTTTTAAATAAAATTTCACCTAAAAAAAGGTAATTGAAAAAAATTATGTACAAGAAAAAATTAAAATTAAGTAATTTTCATTGAAATATTCTCTGTGCTAAAATTTTAAACTTCTATTTTAAATTAAAAATAATTAATTCTCTGTCTACATACAAAAATAAATATAATAATAAATAACATATAAACTGATTTCAATAATTCGTTTAGCATTATTATTATTATTACTCCGATGATAATTTCGTACCACGTTATAAATGTGGAATTGTGAACATTTTATTATATATATGAGGGAAACAATTATTTTTATTGGCTGCTAAGAGGCTGTTTATGGCACTTTCAATTTGCTAATAATCTAAAAGAAAAGAAAAAAAAATTATTTGGCGGATTTTCATGCTTATTGCTAAAAAGAAGCTGCATGACAAAAAAAAAATTAAGTGCAAGACTTCGGTGGAAGTCTTAAAAATTGTGAAAAAGTGCTCACGTCTCTATTTAAACAAAGTGGCTAGCCAAAGGCCCTCCAGGTCTGGAAAAAAAGTTGAACGAAATTTCACGTTCATGAAAAATCTATAGCGTTAATGAGCACCAAAAATTTGCTTCTTGTTTTATAATTATTGCTTTTTTGTTTTGTTTTTTTTTTGTTGCAGATGGAAATTTATGCCAGTTTTTATTTTCTGGATTTTTTTTAGGGATCATAAAATGTAAGTTTCATGTTTTTGTCAAAATTAGAATTATATCAAATATTAATAGTGGAAAAAAAATTAAATTCTAATTAAAAATAGAATTAATTAGCATAATTATATAATATTTAATTTAGATAATTAAAATGATTTAAAAAAAATAAAATTAAAGCCACACTTTGAAAATATTATTTTGGTTTTAAAAAAATAATAATTCTACAGATTATAGCATCAGCAAAAGAGGTTTTTTTTTTTATTTTTAAAAATGCATTCAATATGCGATTTTGAAGACTCCGTTATACCTGGAAATGCTGCGAGCATTGATCGCCTCATTTCTGAAGCTTGAATGCGTAGGTGAATGTCAGCTAATTGAGCTTTAAAGCGTAAATAATAATCCCATAGATGCAAAAGAGCAGCACTTATGCTCTTTTAGATTTTTTTTTAAACTATAAATAGTTTATTCATATTAACAAGTACCACGTCAAGATCATCAAGTAATTGCGCATATTGGAAAAAATAACTTTTCTATATAAAATTATTCTTTTAAATTTAAAAACTGATTACGTAATTTGTGTTTTTTTTATAATCTGAAGGTAATTTATTTTTTATCTAAAGATAATTTTTTAGAGTATAGCTATTGAAAAATTATTTAATTAAAATTATCAAATATTTAGTATCTATTGAGTATATTTAATTCTCGATTTAATTAAAAATTAGAGACCTTATAATTTTTAATATTAGATTCATTATAGTATTACACAGTTTTCTATAACATTTGTAATACTTATCGACAAAGAACGTCATAGAAATATGTAATTGTTTAAATTAGGATGTAATTTAATTGTTCTTTAACAGAATTAACATTTTATTAAATTTTCACTTGATCGAATTTTTCTTTTAACTTTCTTTTGATCTCATTTTTTTTGTCGTGTCGAAATAAAAACTGTCGAATTTTTATTTAGCAGAATTTTATAAAGTGGATTTTATAATGAGTTTAATTTTTAAGTCGCTTATTATTTTGTCATAAATCTCAAAAGATCGAAATCCATAAAGTATAGAATAACCAAAAATATCGAATTACAAAAAGATGGAATGTTTAAAAATTCGAATTATTAAAAGATCGAAATATTAGAAATTTTGAATTATTGAAAATTCGAATTATTAGAAAATCGATTTTTTAAAAATCTGAATGTCTAATTAATCGAATATTCAAATATTCGAATTATCAAAAGATTATATTTTATCATAATTCGAACTTTTGAAAATTTGATTTTCTGATAAATTAAAATTAAATTGGAACTTTTAATAAATCGAATTTTTAAAAAATTCG